TCAGGGGAAGTACGAGGCGGCGGAGGAGATGAACCGGCGAGCGCTGGAGGGAAGAGAGAAGGCGCTGGGGAAAGAGCATCCCGACACCTTGACCAGCGTATACTGTCTGGCTTTCCTTTTTCATCAACAGCAACAGCATGAAGCTGCTTTGGCCTTATATCAAAGGGCAAGCAGCGGATATCAGCGCGTGCTTGGTGTAGAGCATCTTACTACCAAAGCATGCTCCCAGCACTATATATCTCTAGTACAGGAAATGCAGCGAGGACGGTAATCTGTCCTATATTGCCACTTGCAGGACAACCGCAAGGGTACATCAAGAGTACACAGGGAATATGTAGCTTTGGTTTCATGTGTCAGCGTCGGGAATCCGCCACAGTGCGATTTCGCCACTACTGCCAGGGAGGACGGCCGACCCGCACCTGCCATGGTCTTGCGCCGGAGGCGATGGTTTGTAGATACGGCTAAAGAGAAGAGGGCTGTATGCAGCTGTAGATGGTGTAGGGTCGTGCTAAGCATGGCCACCATCACAGCTCTGCTAGTAATTTACTCATCCCTCACGAACATGAACTACTCAAAACTCCTCACGACCCTCACAGATCGAACTGAAGCACACCTCTACGGTCCTAGAGATTGTAGTGTTCATGAATGGAGTCGCTGGTCGTTTGACTGTACGATAGCTGTATCACCTAATGAACCCACTTGACGAAGCGCAGCCTTCGACTCCTAGGCCAGCCGCGCTCTATCTTAGCTTGTATCCTTCCCATCACATCGTATTCCCCTTCAACGAGCTGAGACTAGAGCTCGCTGCGGCTTGGTCTACGAATCGGCGCGTCGGTGGACTCGAGAAGCATGACGGCGTGGTGGGCTCAATCAGATCGTTCCATCGGTCAGCGGAAGGGACAACGGCGGATCTCGGCACTCGGGGGCGGCGCGATGGTATGGCTCTACATCACAAAGTAGGTATCGCTGTGCGTTGGACTGCATCTCGAAGTGTGTGGGATCGCTGACGCTGGAAGGGCGTTGGCTGACTAAACAAGCACCAGGCCATGTTTTCTCACTGCTCCCAATCCCATGTCGGATTCAAAGATAATCCGAACGCCTATGCAGCCCACACAGCCACATACTGTATAATAAAATACCTCCTAGTGCATAAGGTAAGACGTGCGGGGTCATCTCGCATTAGCTAGGATCGGTAATTCGCTTCTAATAGAAGCACTAATTAATAGGGCCGCCCTGCATGAAATCGCGCCTCGCAGCACGCATAGGGCTAATAATGACTTCCTGGCATTAGAGGGGGGTTGTAAGAGTAGGATTAGGCTATTCTATAAAAACTTAGGGCAAAAAAGGCTTAAGGTTAGCGCTGTAAGAAGGGAAGTCTATTATGCTACAATATAAGGCGCTGTACAAATTAGGCGCGGAAGCAATAATGTAAACGTAATTTTTAGGCAAAGTAGAACATAAATATTTAGAATTAGCTATAGCAGATTATTTTTATAGAATTATAGCAATATTTGTTGTGTGCATAGGTTTTCTAGTTGCTAAAAGTTAAAGTACCCCTTATTTTTCTCAGCACACAGTGTTTCTTGCTAAGCAGTGAGGGACGTTATTACTTTCTAAGTGTGCTGTATAACGCTTTTTAAAAAGATTAATCTACTTCTAGGTTAACATAACCTAAGTAAGGGCACAAGCTTTTATAGCTGCTAACTTTACTTTCTTTTTCTTTATATAGTAGATTACAGCCTAAGGTTTTTTTTAACAAGTTTAAAAAGCTTACTTACTACTATACTGTCACAGTTATGTTACAGCTATCCAACCCCTGAGTACCCTAAGGGCTTGGCACGGGGTATATAGGCTCCTCGGCCTCTGTACCTCTGCCTCCGACCCTAAGGTTTACTCTCGTTACCCCCCCTATCCTGCATTCCCTCTCTGTGACCTGTGTTTCCTGCTCGATACCTCTCACATATACCTATTTACTACGCTATTTACTTATTAGGATTAGCTTCTTTCTCTATAGTAATAGTCACTCTAGAGCTCTCTTACACTCTCTTAACCTTATAATATAGCTTGCTTAATTCACCTTGTTTAGATCTTAATACTATATTGTCTCGCCTACTCTATAACCCCTACTCAGCTCATGCAAGATTCATTGCTATGGACAAAGACTGTTAAAATGATTGCATTGTTTGCATCTGAATGTAGGAACTATATCATTAATTTTTCGCAGAGCACAAATGTAGAGCTATGTGAAGCACTAGAGACATGAGGAACTAGATTGAATTGATTGCTAGAGGAGTCCTTTGTAGGAGTCTATATATATGCGAAATAAGTGGGTAAGTCTTGGCAACATAGACTATGGTGAGATGCATACGACTATGGTGACGACGCATCCGACCATGGTGACGACGCATTCGACTATCGTGTGACTACTGCAAACAACAAACTTATAAAAACATAACGAGGTCCCGTACGTACTTTGTAAAATAATCGAAATTGCTATAAGGGGAACAGGATACGGTCGTATGGCCTACTCTTGACGACTAGCGTGAATGTCCGCTTTCCAAGCCTTTCAAGCACAGTCTCGGGTATGGCTATATTCACCTCGATTTCAAAAAGTGGGGCAGAAACATGATTTAGCGGTTCCAGAATGGAGACTAGCGCGTCATCTTCGACAGCAGTCGAATCTTCCCGCTCATGCGTGTCCCAAACGATGATCTCGACGTGCAACGAGCGAAGCCCACGTAGATTTTGAAGGGTTTCGCAGCTTGTCGACCATTGGCAATAATTATCCGGAGGGAATCTTTCGTGCTCTGGCCAATATCTCTGTGGTGTCAAAAATATTGTAGAGACATTCAAGTAGCGAATTTGGTGCCACTGGGGTTGTGGCGTGACAGAATTGAAGGCTAATATACCCCGGGCCCCCTTCAGGCTGAATGTGTTGGCTGTGTACAGGATATGGATTGCTTCCAAGTAACTGCGTCAATTGTAAGCAAAGCTGAGAAGATTCATTGAGGCATACGCACATGCGATGGCAGCTCAAAAGTAATGCTAGTATTTGATCGCTCGAGTGGAAGGTGAACTTCCGTTTGCGGGATGATCTTCGCCTCTCTAACCACGTGCCAAAACACTTGTGCTGCCAGGTCGGACCTTCACAAGCCATGTCTTCGCATCGACGACGTCCCACACGATTTGACTCATCGTCGAAGGGAATGACGTGCATGAACCGGTGCCGGTCGCCAAGAACAGCCTCATAGATGCTAATACGAAGCTCTGCGGGGAAATTTGGGCTGAAAAGCGGGCATTTGGTCTGTTCGTTGCGCGGTTCTCGGGAGATCGGTGGGCGCAGTGGTGCCTGTGGTTTGGGAGAATTTGTCGGCGGAGGGCACTGCGCTCGACGATTGCTACGTAGGATTCGAAACAGCCAGAGACCCATCGTGGAAGTAGTGAGCGAACGTTTGAGGGCAAGAGCGTGAGAGACTAATTTAAGTGTCTGTCAGATGTAATCAAACGCCCGGCTGAGTCATATGGATGTATGTCGCACTTCTAGTACAGAAACCTTCCTTCCCTGTGCCTCAACAGGCCCTACTGCTGTTACTATAGCTCCTACTACTGTCACTACAGCTCCTACTACCTTTACTATATCCCCTTAGCTATTTTTATGGCCCCCACTGCCCCTGCTACAGTACTACACCAAAAGTCTGGTTCGCTAGGCCATCAACACCAAAACGCGCGGTGAACATGTTAATCAACTACCACCCACGCAACTGTACAGCGCTGTTCTTTTAGCTAAGAGATAATTGCAAATTGTTAACACAACACTAAATTATCTATAAGAGCTTAGGATTTAATTAATTTAAAGTAGAAGGCTAGCGCAGCTGTAGCAGAGTTATCTAATAAATTTAGCTGCACAACAACGTGCATGCTAGAGGGACATACGGGTCTCCGACCCCGCAGAAGAACGGGCCGAGGCTGGTAAGGGCACGGCCCGCAAAGGTCACATCACGTGATGCTTAAGATTAGGAATAGCGTGATTGTGGGACTTGGCAAGTGAATGCAGGCTTGGTCTGCGATCACTGTGCAGAACCGGCAACTAATGTAGTCACAGGTAGAGAAGAGTTGCAAGACTTAGCAAGTAATTGTACGCTTAGCTTGCAATCACAGTGCAGTACTTGTGATTACTCTTAGGTATATAGTCTTAACCTCCTACCTCTTGTAGAAGATTGTAGTTATTCTATACTACAGGACATAGTCCTAGGTGTAGTAATATATCTAATATTCTTCTTAACTAGAAGAATTATAAAGATCTTTTTTCTATTTATATGAGTTTTAAATATTAGTTATCTTACTCTTACTTTACCTGTAACGATTCTCGTTCCATCTTAGGTCGCCTGGAACCTATCCAAAGGGTCCCTGTATTGGATCTAACCCTAACTTAATTCTTATAAATCACTCCATCTTAGGTCGCCCAAACCTATCTAAAGGGACCCTGTATCAGCTCCGACCCTGACTCGACCTAGCCCTAACTCTGCCTTGCCCTCTGCTGTACCCCTATTCCCTTATGTATTTAGTTGCACCTTGCCTCTGTAGCTAGCTTAGTAGTTTTCTAATATCCTTTTATACAAGGCCTATAGGTGTTAATGGCATTCCTAGGTTCTAAGTCCCCACGCACTTCTATATGCCTCTAAGTAGATTTCTACTGCATTTAGACCTATTGTCTTGCCTATGCTATTACATTATATTAGAAAACTTACTTTTACTAGTAACAGCCTTATTAATAATATTATAATAATTATTTGTTTAACTATGTCTAAGCTTTAAAACGTGTCTAATTTAGTTTAGGTTATAATACTTACACACTGTTATATTAAACTATTTAGTTTATAAACTAGATCTTATTAACTTTTAGTTAACTAAAGCCTTTAGGTTTAAAACTTCTTATCCTCTATAATTAAGATTACTTTTAGAAAAGTTATAAAGAGTGCGCTAAAGTAGAAACCTAAAAACTACTAATAACTTATTAGAATTAAAGGTAACTACTAACGTACTTCACAGGCAAGTTGCTTACACACCTAAGTTACTTACTTTTGCTAAGACCCTACTACACTACTCTTTTTACACTAATGTATTTCTAATAACACTACTTAGACATATTAAAAGAATATTAAATGCAGCTTACACTTTAGGCTTTTAAATAAGATGTAACACTTTCTAAGTAACACACTATAGCTATTTATAAAGTTTTTTAAAAGATAATAAGTAACTAACATGCTAGATAACTTTTTTAAGCTAATTATATAGCTAACTTATAAAAGCTAAATAATAATAAAAAGTAAGTAATTATTTAGCACATACTTAAGCTAGATATATAAGAATTTCCCCTCTAGCTAGTAGCTATAGCTAATATAGCTAATTCTTTACACGCTAAGCATAATATAGGCTATATTAGTATAAACTAGCTTAATATATTTATTAAGTGTTACTTAAAGCTTAAGTAAAGTTTAAGTATAAGAATAACTATAAAAAAGCTTTTTATAAAAATTTTATAGTAATTTAAAGCTAGTTTAACTTTATAAAGAATATTAAAGCTAAGTATAGCATCTAGAATAATAACATATAACGTACTTTATAGGCGAGTTGCTTACACACCTAAGTTGCTTACTTTTGCTAAGACTCTACTACACTACTTTTTCTACACTAATGCATTTCTAATAACACTACTTAGACATATTAAAGGAATGTTAGATACAGCTTACGCTTTAGGCTTTTAAATAAAATATAACACTTTCTAAGCAACGCGCTGCAGCTATCTATAAAGTCTTTTAAAAAATAATAAGTAACTAACACACTAGACAACTTTTTTAAGCTAATTATATAGCTAACTTATAAAAGCTAGATAATAATAAAAAGTAGGTAATTATTTAGCACATACTTAAGCTAAATGCGCAAGAATTTCCCCTCTAGCTAGCAGCTATAGCTAATATAGCTAATTCTTTGCGCGCTAAGCATAATATAGGCTATATTAGCATAAACTAGCTTAATATGTTTATTAAGTGTTACTTAAAGCTTAAAGTAAAGTTTAAGTGTAAGTATAACTATAAAAAAGCCTTTTATAAGAATTCTATAGTAATTTAAAGCTAGTTTAACCTTATAGAGAATATTAAAGCTAAGTATAGCATTTAGAATAACAACATGTACAACTTTAACAAAATAAGGGTTATAATAGGCTAAATATCTACTAGAGTAGTTGTTATAGGTTTAGAGAGATAAAGACAGCTAAAAGCAGTCTAGCTAGGCAACTAGAAGTAGACAATAGCTATCTAGAGCATTAATGCTAAAAAGTAGGCTATTTTACTTTTTATTATTTTTTAAGGTAGCAACTACCTTTTAAACTAGTATAAAAAGAAAAATCTACTCTAGAATTAAGTTATTGTAATCTCTAAGCACAGCTAGACTACTAATTAGCTTAGTTTAAACTAGTTAAAGCACTTTAATGCGCATATAAAAAAGTGTACTGTTAGCAACTACTATCTGCTAGTTATTAATAGCTATAAAAGCTATAACTTACTTTATTTCTAGTAATACTATAAAGATAATAAAATTATTACTATTTATAACATACTTTATAGGCAAGTTGCTCACACACCTGAGTTGCTTACTTTTGCTAAGACCCTACCCTAACAAACTCTATTATAGCCTATAACAACCTGCTCTAGCACTATATAGTACAGTACAGCCTAGAATATTATTTAGATACTACTTCTGCTTCTTACTTACATATTTGCGCGTTATGCCTAGTCTAATTGCACTATCTGCAGCGCCTTTAGGATAGCTTACCTACTTTAGCTTACACCTGCTTCTTTACCTTCTTCCTGTTACTACGCGCTTTAAACTCCTTTAAAGCTATTAAGTGTAGGCCTTTTTAAATTATTAAGGTTTTTTCTGCTTTAATTTACTTTCTTTTATATAATTTATATTATATAGCAGCCTTATTAGCTACTTAAAGCTTAGTAATTTCTTATTACACTAACACTAGCTTATGCGTAATTATTACTGCTTTTTTTAAAACTTTTTTAAACACCTTAACTATAAAAGTTAGTAAACTATTTATATACTTTTAAATTTTTATTTTTATAAGTATTAATTATAACTTAAGTTTTAAAGTATTACTTAAAGTTTATAACTACTAAGGCTTGTTATATATAAGTAGTAGTAGTAATAAAGTGCATAACTTTATATTAAGGCCTATTATAACTTATTATAAGTTAAAAAAAACTAATCTAGCGCTTTAAAACTTTTTTTAGATATTACTAAAAGTAATTATAGCATTATAAGCTGCTTTAAAGCATAGTAGGAACTTTATTTTTATAATATAAGTAATTTAGTTATATATAAGGTTTTTAGCTTAGCGCCTATATACTTTTTTTAAAGAAGTAAAATAACTTATATTAAGTAGCTATAAAAAGTGTAATAAGTAAAAAAGCATATAAATAGTAATAATTTTATTATTTTTATAGTATTACTAAAAATAAAGTAAGTTATAGCTTTTATAGCTATTAATAACTAGTAAATAGTAGCTGCTAATAGTACACTTTTTTATATATGCATTAAAGTGCTTTAACTAGTCTAGACTAAGCTAATTAGTAGTCTAGCTGCGCTTAGAGATTATAATAACTTAATTTTAGAGTAGATTTTTTTTTCTTATACTAGTTTAAAAAGTAGTTACTACTTTAAAAAATAATAAAAAGTAAAATAGCCTACTTTTTAGTATTAATGCCCTAGATAGCTATTATCTACTTCTAGTTACCTAGCTAGACTGCTTTTAGCTGTCTTTATCTCTCTAAACTTATAATAACTACTCTAGTAGATATCTAGCCTATTATAAACCTTATTTTATTAAAGTTGTACATGTTATTATTCTAGATGCTATACTTAGCTTTAATATTTTTTATAAAGTTAAACTAGCTTTAAATTACTATAAAATTTTTATAAAAAGCTTTTTTATAGTTATACTTACACTTAAACTTTACTTTAAGCTTTAAGTAACACTTAATAAACATATTAAGCTAGTTTATACTAATATAGCTTATATTATGCTTAGCGTGTAAAGAATTAGCTATATTAGCTATAGCTGCTAGCTAGAGGGGAAATCCTTGCGCATTTAGCTTAAGTATATGCTAAATAATTACCTACTTTTTATTATTATCTAGCTTTTATAAGTTAGCTATATAATTAGCTTAGAAAAGTTATCTAGCGCGTTAGTTACTTATTATCTTTTAAAAAACCCTATAGATAGCTGCAGCGTGTTAGTTAAAAAGTGTTATATTTTATTTAAAAGCTTAAAGTATAAGCTGCATCTAACATTCTTTTAACATATTTAAATAGTGTTGTTAGAAATACATTAGTGTAAAAAAAGTAGTATAGTAGAGTCTTAGTGTAAGGACGGAGCTCTGTACCACTACGCCAATACAACTAAAAAGGTGCAAATAATCAACCAACAGTTAATTATTGCGTACAGAATAGTATATAGTTATACCCGTCGCACGTAAGCACCATCTCGGCCTTACATTATCCCCCTTCTTAGCAGACGCATGTCCCAGGCGTCACATGACCTACCCGCAGCTCAGAGGCGCCTATGCGCATGTCTCGGTTACCGGCCAGAGGCTGACCACCTGCGGCCCAGAGGCGCGGGATAAATAACGACGCTTAGTGGCCCACGCCAGCTAAGCCATACACACTAGACCTCCCAGCAGCTACAACGTGGCGCCAGAAGAGGCCGCCTCACGTTTCAGTCTAAAAACTGGCTAAGCTGTCCAAGGTGTGGGTCGAACGCGCGACCGTCCTTGTCGTTGGTTGATTATTATGTAAGGACGGAGCTCTGTACCACTACGCTAATACAACTAAAAAGGTGCGAATAATCAACCAACAGTTGATTATTGCGTACAGAATAGTATATATACCCGTCGCACGTAAGCACCATCTCGGCCTTACACTTAGCAAAAGTAAGTAACTTAGGTGTGTAAGCAACTTGCCCATGAAGTACGTTATATAAAAAGTAACTTTTTAGATAAAAAGAAAAGTTACTAGTGTTTATACATAGTAGTAGTGTTACAGCCTAGATATAAGTAATTGCGTATAAGCAAAATTATATATCTATGTTATATAATGCTTATGCGTAAACCTCTATGCGTAAATATTTAGATATTCCTCTTTTCCTCTATACAGAGGAAAGATAAGAGTAATAGAACTAGAAACATATTGCCCTTACCTTACCTACCTTGTACGCTGTGCACACTGTACACCACTCTTACTCTTGCTACTTAAGTGCTCATACCATAAGCAGCTAGCTGTCAGAGCCCATTCAACACATAGCGGTAATATACAAGCTCGCAGCGGTGGTTCAAGACCAGTTGCAGAAACAGCCAACAGTAGTGTGGTGTAGAGGCGCAAACGGGGCCACTTCATTAATGCTTGCAGCAGTGAGCGGGTGCCTCAATGTTGTCCAGCTCCTAGTGTCAAACATTCTCACCGAAGTCAATTTTCAAGATACCAGAGGGAGAATAGCACTTCGGTACGCCATTACTCAAAAGAAGTACCCAATTGTTCGGCAAATCTTCAATTCGACAGGCGATTTAGACATTGGTATTGGAGCTTCATTCGCTCACCTTTGTGAAAAGTATCACACTAGGGAACCAAAGGAGGCGAGGATCTTCTCCGGCTCTTTTTGGCTCGAGCAGATTTGGAGGTTAACGGCAACGGTGGCTATATTGATGGTGACCCACCTTGGTTCATCCTTGCTAAACATTAGTACCTTGATATCCTCCAAGATCTCGTAGGAAACCCGAAGTTCGACCGATGGCGGTCAGGTCGACCAAGCCGTCATGGAGATTACGACAACTACCACAAAAACACCGACTCGACATATCCTTTGGTACCATACAAGATATGTGCGGCATCCCAGCCATTATTCAACTCTTGGCCAACGACCCTCATTTCAACTTTAAGGAATTCTATGCTCTGGAATTACTTTGGCCGTTTGTGTACTATGCCTTTACTGACTTAGAGCCTAGGGTTTATCACCAGATCGATTAGATGGGCATGTGGGACGATGAGCAGCAACCCTGGAAATACATGTTACGGGATTTACTGGAGTCTCGTCATATTTCGTTCGAGACCAGGGATTCAAAAAGGAGGGGTTTGTTACACCACCTTTCCAACGTTGGCGAAGATGAATACAAGCAAGGCCATTTAGAATTCCTCCTACAACGATTGGCCGCCGACCTCACGGATGAGCAAGAACGGACACCGCTTCACGTAGCAGCACAAAATGGCTATGGGGATGTCGGCTGACAGCTGCTCAGTGCTGGTGCCAATCCTCTAGCTGTTGATGAAGATGCCATGTCACTACTGCATTACGCCACGGAAAGCAGCAGCATTGATCTGCTAGAGCTGTTAATTTAAAATGGAGCAAACGTTAAATCAAAAACTAAGGACGGCGAATCGATGTTACAAAAGGCTGCTGGTATCTCCAACTCCATAGGGGAAAAGATCCAGCTCCTTATCGGACTCGACGTTCCCATAGCAGATGAGGATGACTTCGGCCGGATTCCACTGCACCTAGCATGCTATAGCACTGTTGAAGTCTTCACAGTGCTTCTATAATGCGGATTTTTATTACTTCGGGCCCTTAGGAACCTTGAGAGCGTGGCGCCCATATATATTCCTAACCTTTTCAAGTTTGTATGCCTTGATAATGTTCGAGTTACATGGCGGATGCATCTAGAACTTCGGTGTCACGGTTCGCGTAGTCTTGAATTTGCGGTCGTTATCCTACCGCGAAGGGCTGGCTAAGACCCTAAAGATGACCATCCTTGACATTATGAATTGAAATCATGTATGTACAAATTTTGGTCTTAATATGGCCATATTCGTGAGTACAAGAGCTTCTGCGACTCAGATTCAGCCATATTCACAAACATCTCCTTGACGGCATTGTTGGTGTACGAAGCCTGCTCGTAATTTTCTCGAAGGACCATGCCGCCCAATGGAATCAGGTTATCTTTCTGAAGCTGGTGCAGGACTTCTCCAAGACCCTCTAAAAGCTCCAATTCACTGTTGTGAAGCTCTAGTTCCTTCTCCGTAAATTGTATGGGACAGGATACCGTTGCCGGTGCAATGTCCTCCCATTGAGCAGCTAGGTGTATCAAGGCATGGCGGAAAGAAAACACGTCATTCCTGCTCCAGGCGCCACAGAGCAAAGAGGAGGGCTCGGCCAAAAGAGAGCGACACCGCAAAGTCATCGCAGCCCACCGTCGCCGATTCTTAAGCCTGGTAAGTCGTTGGTAATGGCTAAGCAGATCTGCAGTCCTGTCTGCATCGTCTGTTGCATTGGGCTCTTCTAATGCGGCTTTCAATCGGTTACTAGTGGTGCTAGATCCGACCGGAAGAAGCAAACGTGGAATCTTGTGTTGAAAGAATGGCTCAGATACCGAAGCCGACTGCCAGTCAATGATGCGAGTTATTTGCTTCGTGCCTGGATCAACGAATATATTATCGAGGTGAAGGTCTGGGTGGGAGAGCGATGTTCGGGACGGACCTGGTAATAGATGGGGCACGAGTTGAAGGTATCGTTCTAACAGTGAAATGTACTCATCGGGAGATTCTGGCGACTCAAAGGATCGGTAAGGATTTATACGGGGTTTTGCGTACGCCTTCGCCCACTGTATCTCGTTGATTCCCATCGCTGCCAAGTAGGACAGTGGAGTGCTCCCTTTTTAGGTCAGCAGAATACTTATCTCAAGGTGGTGGTGCACATAACTTACATGGACCCCGATCTAAATCCATCGTAGCTCTGTCCCCTTCGCAAAGTCGCCGGATGATAGAGACCTGGCTTCTAGGTCATAGGCCGGAATACCCTTCTTTTCTAAATCCTTCTTGTAGTAGATGCAGCCGTGTCTCCGAAATGAAACCGAAGTTAGCTTTGTCTCGAAGTCAACGAGCTGATTCACCAGGTCGAGTTGTGATTCTGTTTGCCACTGATACCAAAGGCTACCCAGTGGTTTGCCCTCTGCCTTCTCTTCAATGATGTACTCGGCACCGACTGGATTGAGTGGGTCCAAAGAATATGCATACATGCGCGGAACAGGCAATTTTAAGACTGTGCGGAGCTGCAACATAGTCGTCAGAGCTTCAGCATACCAGCACGATGGGTCACATACAAATTGACGGGTAGCGACCTCAGAGGCAGCCGTGTAGAAAGCTGGACCAGCATTAGGATTTGGAATCTTTGCCAAAACCTCAACTCCGTTATCCATAGTTATGATAAACGCCTTGTTGTATTGTCCTTCCACGCATTTTAGTAGCTTGACACCTGAGCATGCGAAAGTTAGATTACATTCTTCTGCAGTTCCAGGATCGGACTTGTTCAAGTATCTTACAAGATCTAGCTCCGTCACCAACGGCATTGACGGCGGCATCAAGGAGAGCAGAGATGTTGAATTTGCGATAACGCATCGCAAGGTTTTCAGGTTCGTCGCGTCTAGGCGTTGTTAAATCGCCTGGCTAAATGAGCATGGTCTGCACATACAGCCACCGGTATCGAGTGTATCTGTAAAGCTCTTCTTCGAGTATTTCTTCCTCTGTGGTACAAGCTGAGCAAGAAGATTCCTGGACCTCGAAATAGAAGTCTCTAGCCTACCCAAGCCGTCATTCCTTTGCTTTTGGAGGAGGGGCATTGCCATAGTACTCATCTCCCAATGAAAGCCCGGTTGCTGACAGTGCCAGAGTTGGTTTCTCCGAATACACTTGTGTGTGGAGCTCGATCTAAGCGCGTTAAAAACGCAAGAGAGGGTTTTCATTGCGGTACGTCGTCGACGGCATCGACGACCTCCAGATTCGATTCGATTCAATTTGATTTTGATCCTACTCAGTTATAGCCGCAATTTCCCCGCAGCTATGCCCTAGTTGGCGTTTAGCAGACAGCCGACGTGTTTCGTACAGGGGACTTGTAAAGATGGGATAGTAGGTAGCACGGATAGCACTGAGAGCAAGGTTTTGGAGAAAGATAGGAGTGTATTGTAAGAGAGACGAATCGCTGCCAAGCCTCGCTTGTCAGGATTCATGCCTATATACGAAGCACAGGTCACCTGACCTCCAAACAGGTCGGGTGAGGCCATACTGGCCCGTTCTGGGACATCCGGCCTTACAGGACTTTCAACAGGTAAAGGGACAAAACTTAACTAAGGTCTAAAAAAAACATTAGGATATTAAAAATAAAGATTTAGAAGCAACAGACTTACATTTTATCGTGTATATAAAGCATTCTTATCATGTTATCTTATTTAGATAACTAACATACTATAACAGTTCATAAATGAATGCATAAGCGGAGCTTGTTTTAAGTCACTTATTAAACTCTTTCTAGAGAAGAAGACTGCATTAGAAGAAGCCTATAGAAGAAAACTATAAGCAGAGCAGATAATAAAAAGTAGTCTATAGACTAAAACCTATAAACTATATTCCTATAAATTCTACGCAAAGACCTATATACCTATAAATGCTATATAAGAGAACACCTTTTAGTAGGTCTGTCTACGCAAGTACTTATTAGCAAAGTTAAAGTACTAGCTAAAATCTTAAGTAATGCAAATAACAAGCTGCACATCTTAAGCCTAGATAGTAATGCGCTTGCTATAGATAGCAGCTAGCTAAGTACTTATAAATTAATAAGTCTAATACCTTGTCTAATACTAATACATTAGCACTTACATTCTATTAAAGTTATAATAAAGGACTTAGCAGTTATTTATAATGCATAAAGTGCTTACTTACTCTAGTAGAAAAGTTTATTATTAGTTTAAGCTACATCCTAGGCAACCTTCTAAACAAGACAGCAGAAGGGAGTAATTACAAAAAAGAACTTAGTATTATGTTGTTTAAACTAATAAAACTTAATCTGCTAAAGAAGTGCAACTATTTATAGTTAGTAATAAGTATTAGATAGTAAAAATAAGATTTAATAAACTTTTATTCTTTTTAAGCTTCTAGCCCTTACTAGTTCCCTTCTAAGCTAGAACCTAAATGCTAGTCTTCTTATATGTAACACGCTCTAAGGGCGGTAAATTAGCACGCTTTAGACGTAAACTCTTTAGAACTGTAGGCTTCTTAGGAGGGCGTTTGCCTTTATTAGGCCTAGGAACAGGAGCTTTGCAGGGAGCTTTAGTAGCAATAGCCTTCTTCCTAAAGAGAGCTATAATGCATTAGCAGTGTCTATTACTATGTCTAATACTATAATTATACTCTTCCTAGCAGCATTAACATAAATAGGTTAAAAGTGAGACATTTTTAACAAAGTAAATGTTATAATAGAGTAAAAAAGCTGTGCAACATGTTACTAAGCTATAATATTAGCATAAAAACAGCTTTAGGAGTAAATAAAGGCTTATAAAGAGTGTAATAAAGTAGTAAAGCAATTACGCAGTAAGTTATATTAAGAGTGTTAGTAGGAAGGTCTTAAAAGTTAAATAGCAAACCTTTAAGCCTTACTTTTACTTTTATAAACTTGCTTAGATTTTTACTGCTACTTTTACTCTTCTACTGCATTTTTATTATAGCAGATAATTACATAAACTTTTACATAACTAACTTTTATAATCTGCGTGTAGAATACTCTTAAACTAGTATATAAAGTAGTATTAGACATAGTATTAGACGCATTATAGTAAAATAAGTAGAAGTAACATTTTTAAGAGAAATATAATTTTTTTAAATAGCTTACTGCTGCTTTGCCTGTCACCTTAGTAACAGCCTATGTAGTATAGATGCTGCCTAAATAACATAATTACCTTTATTTACTTTAAAAATTTAGTTTTTTAAGCCTTTATTGTAACCTTAATTTTATAACCTTAACTATACTACTATAAACTTTGTTTGTTAGTTTTATGTAACACTATTTAAACCTTTACTAAGCTATCTATTACCTGTCTATTACTACCACGCAACTATAGCAAAGTGTAAAAAAAGCCTATTAGAATACTTAATAAATGCTTTTACTATAAGAAATCTTAAGAGATAAACTTAGCTTACTAGAAAGAATGCCTAATGCAACCTAGACTATATTATAACTAATACATACTATTCTAAATTCTAGAGTAACAAGTTCTGCCTAGCAGTTTAGCATCTTTTAGATGCTAAATATAATGTTAATAAAAAGTCTAAACTAGAGTTGCAACTGTGCATTTAGTCTAAGAATATAGCAACAGCACTTTAGTAAGTTAATATAGTATTAGACAGGTATTAGACAGTAGCTAATATGTTATAGATTTAAGAAAGGTGAACACTATAGCTAGAAAGCAATTATGCGCGGTGCAGACCCTAGTAAATTTAGTAATAAACATGTATTCTTTATCTAGCAAACTAGGCTCTTTAACTTACTAAAAGAGTTTATGCCTTCTTAACACTGCTAACTAGATAAGGAATCTATAGATATAGGACCTATAGATGTTAATAGCTCTAAGCCTATAAATAATCTTAGTCTATAAGCTAGAGCACTAATGCAAGCTAAAGTGCTAATAATAGACATAAAAGTAGCAGATAAACTTTGCTAATAGAGATATATTAAAGCTATACTAGTAGATGCAGTTGCTAGTGCAGATAAGAAGATAAGTTTCTTTAAAATGCATAACTTTAGCGCGTATATTTTGCATATAAGTAATACTATCTTTTATGTAAGTACATTCTAGCTGCTACGCCTAATACCTGTCTAATACCTCACAGCGCTACCTAAACTAGATGTGTCTGGGCTTTTCTAGGTATCTACTATACATTGCTAATAATGTTTAAGACTGCTAGTGCTAAGTAAGTTTCTAGAAAAGTCTTTAACTACATAACTAATAAGCATAGTCTATATTTATTAAGCTAGCATTTAATCTTACACCTATAGCTTTTTATAAGCTTATTACTATTAATAAGCCCTTTTAACTGCTAATTTTTTTTTTTAAGCTTCTCTTCTTAAGAGCTAAATAGGCAATTCTAACAGTATTATATGTTATATAATTAAGTAGTTACTTCCTTGCTACTAATATTTAATTAGTAGCCCAGGACAAGAGCATTAGTCTTTTAAAACTTTATAATAATAAATTTCTTAATAATTTAAAGTAAGTTTAGTATTAGATAAGGTATTAAACACACGCTAATTATAGCATTTAGACATTAAACTTTATTCTAAACCTACTAGTTTAAGACAGAGGATGTAAAATACTTGCTAGATACTATTTAAGGTAGAGATAGTGTTATGCCTGTAGATTTAACCTAGTTTATTAAGATGCTTAAGCTAGAAAAGCACTAGCAGTAAGAAGGGAATAACTCTAAGACTTTAAATAAGCTATAATAACTTAAATATAGAGTCTATACTTATATCTAACTATTATAATCTCTAATTTATAAACTCTAATTTATGTTATGTCTATTATACTAATAAAAGCAATATATTATGCTATAAATTAGTTTGTAAATTACTAAGCATACAGACATAATATAATAGTAGAGAAGGTATTAGATAAGTATTAGATAAACAGGTTAAAAATTACAGTCTACTACTATAACTAACTACTATATTCTTTGCTGCATATTTGCATTTTGCCTTTTTATAGTTTTTAAATTGCTACTTTTTAAATAATCTAAGAAGAAATGCTTATTAAACATTAACCTATCTAGCAACTTAATATAAGAAACTGTAATGTACATAAGACTTAGTGCATAATCTCTTTTACTACTAATATAAATAACTGCCTTGTCTAGACTTAAGCCTTGTGACTTATAAATAGTTATAGCCCACACAGAGCAGATTAGAAACTGCGTGCAGGACATAACATTCCCCTAGAAGTAAAACTCTTAACTAATAAAAAACATAAAAATAACTGCCTTACTATCTGCCTAAGTGTACAGCGCTAGCTCTTTGTACCTAGAGATAGCAACAAGAACTGCCTTTAAAGGCTCCTTACAAGGATTTATAACAGATAGAGGCCATAGGATATTGTCTACTTCCCTAATAGTACTATTTACAAGACTAACCTTTGTCTATATATTATGCAGGAGCATAACTTAGCCACCTACACACAACAGAAGAAGGCTGTGTAAGTTGCTACTGTCCTAAGCGTCTACCTTAGCAGCCTAAGGGTAATTATGTTTAGCCTAGGCAATAACAACAGGTTTACTATAGTCTTTTATATGCTGCTAGTTTATAGCAGAGACTTTAGAACATTTGCTGCATAGTTAGATAGCAGAGTTAAAGCTACAACACTTATTAGCTAGAAACAAAACTTAACATTGCTTACTAAATAGCATCTAGTTGTTAGCAGTGCTTGCGCTATCCTAGAGACGCCTAAGAGCATCCTAAAACCTAGCCTAGGAGTCCCCCTGCTGCTGCATTATAACGTTAAGTATAATTGTCTTGTTAAACAAACTATACAGGTGCTAACTATAGGTCTTTACAGGGCATTTCTAATTAGTACAATCAAACAGCGGCCGCCAGCTAACTAGAGGTAGTTGCCTAAAATTGCTAGACAATATAATGTTAATGCCACTAAAGTCCTCCTTAGACTCTAGAAACGCCTACGCACACCTAGCATAAATCTAGCTAAGTATACTAAGGCTAACTATAAATTTTTTGTTAATTATAATATATTTAACTTATTAGAGTTAGCTTTAAAGCTAGGAAAAACTTACTCCTTATAAAAGTAGAAGGGGTCTGTACTTGTTAATAATTAGGATGCAAAATATAGAGTTAATAGTGCAACTAGATATAAAATATGCAGCTACACTAGTAGGCGCGCATCGCATTACAGAGTTGCTAATGTTGTATTGTAGAGCTAAGTTGTTAAGAGCTAAGAATATACTATTAATAATAAATGTCTTTCCTGTACTGCTAACCCTATCTAAATTAATAAGCAACTGCAGTAGTAAACAAAGTTTAAGATATGCTGTAAAGTAGTTTATAACTAGGTTGTACAATAATCTCTGTTTCGCCTAGAGGGTATTAGACATAGTATTAGACGCCCCAGCTCTAGCAACTAGATAGCAGCTCTTTAGCCTAGACTAATATGTTATTAGATCTAGATTATATAGATTAATATAAGATAAATCTATCTAATCCTTTGCCTAATTAAGTAGACAGTTACTAAGGGCATCTAGATTAACGTCCTCTCTGTCTTCTCCTAGTTAGCGTAGCCTAAGCTTATTAAATAACAAAGTCTTCTCTAGCACTACATCCTTCTACTTAGGATTATCTAGGTCCTTCTCTAGGTTAAGTTTACTGTAAGTGTTAGTTAGCTTATAGAAACAGACAGTGCAGCAATAATTATAAGCCTTAGTAAATGTTTTATAAGTAACTTTATAAATAGCTAATAACTTATTAGCAGTGTAAAAGAGGTAGTGTAGGGTTAACTTAACCTACAAGAAGTTCTTTAAATTAAGAGAGGGCTTATATTAAAAAAAAAAGTTTAGAATCTTAGGCTTAGCTCTTAGCCTGTGTTTTAACTTTTTAGTAATGTAGTTAAAATAAAGCAGAAAGTCTAGGTAGCAGATATAGTCTAGAGAGCTATCTTGCTCTAGATATTTCTGCATAAGTGTACAGGCTTTTATAATAGTAAACTTATTATAGTTCTTTACTTCTATGTTTTCTAGTAGTCTCTGTTGCTAAGCTTAATCCTAGAAGAAAAAAGAGAATAGTTATAGACTAATAAGTTAATAATTAACTATAATAACAGTCTAGCTGTAGTGATAGAGAGGTAAGTAAAATAGCTAATGCATAACCTTCTAAGCACTATAATCCTAAGCGCTAAGCTCTTTGTTTATAAGCTTTACAGCAAACAAGAGCATAGAATTGCTAGGTCTAATATGTAGCAAGACCTAAGCTACTATCTTCTTAAATGTCTGCGTCTAAGTCTTACCCTTAAAAGTATACACGCCTATGTAATTAACAACCCTAGTAGTACTTATGCATACTTATATATTAGTATTAGCGCGCTAACTAAGTGTAAGGGTACATAAATAGGCGTTAAGTTGCATATAGTTCTATTGTGTAAAAAAACACTTATAAGGCTTTCTTTTTACATGCGCAAATGTTAGCACCTCTTGCACTTCTTAAAAAGTGTTAAATTAGCAGACTTTTTCTTTTATTTTTTTGTGTACCTTTAAATAATAGCTAGTCTAACACTAGTGTAAATAACAGCGCGTTAGGACGTTAGACAGCTTCTTAAACATAAATGTTATAGAGCGCTATAAGAGGGACAGTACTAAACCCTTATCTACTAACTTCTGCAGCTTAGGTTCTAGATAAATTGCTAAGATGTAACAGCCCTAGTACGCTGCTAAGCAAGCAATAGAAAAGGGTGTGGCGTTCTCTCCTAGCTTGTTGTCAGGATGAGGTGTGTTACTGCAGTAGTAGAGACTATAACTGTGTGTGCTTCCTCTGCCCTACTACTTATACTAATTCTACTAATTTGTAACGTTAAACTTTAGCTTAATTACATGCTTTTTAAAGAGCCTAAAACGTTAATTAAAGTAATAAGCTATAATGTATAAGTTATCTTACACAAAGGTAGACACTAATTATAGACGCTGTTTAGCATTAGCAGCTTTTTATAGAGAAAACTCTTGCATAAAGCGTAGGAGGTTGTGCTAGTGTTAATTAGCAGTAGAGAAGGTAATAAACAATATAGAACTATAAAGTTGCTAAACCTGCTAGGTTTTAACATATGCGCTATAGGTATTAGACAGGTATTAGATGCACTATTACTTTAAAGTTTTTCCTTTTTTGTATCTAAAATAACTAAGTACTATAAATTTTAGCTATAAAATAAATAATAAAGTTAACTATTTATTACCCTCTATCTTCTCTAGCAAATTGCTTCTGTATGTCTTTTACTGTTAACTCCTGCCTATTAAAGGCGCGCTTAACATAGAATCCTGCTTTAGACGCAGACTCCTTCTAAAGAAGCATATTAAATGCTGTAAACTAGAAATGTAGGTGTTAAGCAAATCTTCTGTCCTTATAATAAATAAAGTAGCGCACATAACTAAGAAAATTAACGTTACGTAGTTAGAGCTGTACAAATTCTGCCTTGCTATATAGAAATAAAAATAGGAATGTAAGGCTAAATAAGAGCTTATAACTATTAAATTTAGAGATTAAAGTTTAACAGATAGAACCTATAAAAAGAAACTCCTATGTTGTTGTTTAATAAATATAGTCTCTTAATGTCTTAAACTTGTAAACATTAGGTGTAAAGTTAGGTATAACTTTATGTTTAGGCTCTTTAACCTTATTAATGTCTATCTCTTTAAATACAGAGCTCCTACTATAGGTGCTGCCAGCGTCTTTATCTACAGCAGATGTAGCAGTATTAGATAAGGTATTAGCCTCTAGATTATCATCTCTATCTACTACATCTGTAAGTAAACTATTATTGTTTGTCTTAATAATTAAAAGTTAGTTATTAATATAATTATTTATTAGCAGTAAACTAAAAGCTTTTTTATTAACAGTAATGTTAGCGTATCTAAGATAGTAGGCAATTAAGTAGTTTAGCCACTATTCTATAACAGGTTAACGCACATAGTGCTCCTTTTTAAACTAATAGTTAATTGCACCTTAATCCTCCCCTTTAGTAGTAGCTAGTTTAAGGATAACAATGTCTAGATTATAAGAAAAGAGTAGAAGGCGTAAGAACACCTTAGCAGTGTTAACAGCAAAGTAGCATATATAGCCCTAGTACTTATACTGCTGTCCCTAATGCTGCCTTATTTCTATATTAACATGTACGCGTGCTAGTAGTTGCTCTTTAGTAGTAGTTAACTTAGAAAGGTTTAGTAAAGGGCTAGGATTAAAGTTATTTATGTCTTCTTAAAGTAGAACAAATTTCTTTTTATGTCTATGTTTAAGTAAATTAGTAGCGCACTCCTTACAAGTACCCTATTAATTTAATCCTATATTAAACTACCTTTAATTGCAGGTAGTGCATGTATCTAACTTAATATTAAGTAGACCCTTATAGAAGTTGTTAATATAGCCCTTATTAACTTCTAGTATAGCTTAGTCTTTAAGGAATTTAACATTATTAAAATTTATAGGTACAGGCGCAGATAGAAAATTGTACGTACAGCGCTTAGCGTCTAAGAAGATATCTATGTTAATGTCCTTATCTAAACTGTTGCTAAGGTTGTTTTCATTTATACCTGCTCTCTGCAACTAAGAGGGTGTAGACTAAAACCTTCCCTGTGTTAACAGTGGCTTCTAGGTACATTGCGTACTTAAACTAATTAGAGTAAATAGCACAGATAGTATATTAGAGAGGTTGCCTAATAGGCTAAGGATTTTTAGCGGAGCTTGCTCTGCTCCTTTCTGTGGACTTTGGTTTTCTTTGGTTAGGGCTTGGCAGCCAAGAATTACTGCTTTCAGCCTTTTTAGGCTCACGTAAGCATAAAAACGGCAGATCCTCAGATAATTATTTCCTGCGCGAAAACCAAAACCTCGCTGCGCGTGTTGTCTAATACCCGTCTAATACCTCCTGCTACAACCCACAACATGGTACCTCTGCTATTCAACGCTAATAAACCTCCCCCACTCTGCGATGATTGTCATCACCCTATGGATCCACAGAGAGACAGGACGTTCCTCCGATGGAAGGTTCGATGTGCGCCCTGCAATACACGAATCCAGGTGTCAGATTGAAGCACTGTTTCTGGGCTTCCTGAGATGAATGATGGGTTTAGATATAATGTATGGGATGATTAATTAATTTTATTGATTGTGTTTTTGTTTATCAATCCTTTTTCTGCTCTACTCGTGTTGCTCGGCTTTTTGTTCTGCCGATCCGAGTCCCTCGCGCACTAGCCCTATGCGCGACCAGCTTGCAACATGCTGCAATTTGCTGCAAAATGCTGTAACATGCTGCAATTTGCTGCAATTTGCTGCAACATGCTGTAAAATGCTGCAATTTGCTGCAACATGCTGCAAAATGCTGCAATTTGCTGCAACATGCTGCAAAATGCTGCAACATGCTGCAAAATGCTGCAATTTGCTGCAACATGCTGCAATTTGCAGCAACATACTGTTCGAGCTTATTGCTCGTACTATGTAGCAGCTTTCGTCAAACGTTCCTCCTGTCTTGACAGTAGGTGCGCATATCTGACACCAGGCAAGGAAGCGCCCTACCCAGGGCAGCCCTATACCTCCACCGCCAGCCAAGAGGCGCGCTCTTGCTGATATCACATATGTCGCAAATAACAGACTACAACCCTATATCCCGCCGTCGTCTCCTCTAGTACCCCTATGTCGTTATTGTTCTACGCCATTAGACCAGGCAAATGACACGTTTAAAGGAAATGGGAGGTAGAAGACTTTATGTTAAAAGTGTTGCTAATTAAAGAGTAAGGTTAACGTTTATACTATAAATAAGGAACTAGCACACGTATTGCCTCCTATAAACCTTAGCCTATTAAGCTCCCTTCTTCGCGACATTCCTACACAACAGACGCCTTAACAATCTCCTTAATACAAAATCCCTAGCCTATTAGGCAATCTCTCTAATATACTACTTGTGCTATTTACTCTAATTAGTTTAAGTACATAATGTACCTAAAAGCTACTGTTAACATAGAGAAGGTTTTAGTCTACACTCTCTTAGTTGCAGAGAGCAGGTACAAATAAAAACAACCTTAGCAATAGTTTAGATAAGGACATTAACGTAGATATCTTTCTAAACGCTAAGCGCTGTGCGTACAATTTTCTATCTGCGCCTATACCTATAAATTTTAACAATGTTAAATTCTTTAAAGACTAGGCTATAACTACTAGAAGTTAATAAAGGCTATATTAACAACTTTTATAAAGGTCTACTTAATATTAAGTTAGATACATGCACTACCTGTAATTAAAAGTAGTTTAACATAGGATTAAATTAATAAAGTACTTGTAAGGAGTGCGCTACTAATTTGCTTAAATATAGACACAAGAAGGAATTTATTCTACTTTAGAAAGATATAAATAACTTTAATTTTAGCCCTTTACTAAACCTTTTTAAGTTAACTACTACTAAAGAGTAACTACTAGCACATGTACACGTTAATATAATAAACCTCTCTGCTAGAGTAAGTAGGCACTTTGTGCATTGCAAATAACTGCTAAGTCTTTTATTATAACTTTAATAAAATGTAAGTGCTAATGTATTAGTATTAGACAAGGTATTAGACTTATTAATTTATAGGCACTTAGCTAGCTGCTATCTATGGCAAGCGCATTACTATCTAGGCTTAAGATGTGCAGCTTGTTATTTGCATTGCTTAGGATTTTAGCTAGTACTTTAACTTTGCTAATAAGTACTTGTGTAGATAAACCTACTAAAAAGTGTTCTCTTGCATAGCATTTATAGGTATATAGGTCTTTGCGTAGAATTTATAGGAATATAGTTTATAAGTTTTAGTCTGCAGACTACTTTTTATTATCTGCTCTGCTTATAGTCTTCTTCTATAGGCTTCTTCTAATGCAGTCTTCTTCTCTAGAAAGAGTTTAATAAGTGACTTAAAACAAGCTCCGCTTATGCATTTATTTATAAACTGTTATAGTATGTTATATTAGAGAGATTGTTAAGGCGTCTGTTGTGTAGGAATGTCGCAAAGAAGGGAGCTTAATAGGCTAAGGTTTATAGGAGGCAATATGTGTGCTAGTTTCTTATTTATAGTATAAACGTTAACCTTGCTCTTTAATTAGTAACACTTTTAACATAAAGTCTTCTACCTGCTATTTCCTTTAAACGTGTCATTTGCCTGGTCTAATAGCGTAGAACAATAACAACATAGGGGTACTAGAGGAGACGACAGCGGGATATAGGGTTGTAGTCTGTTATTTGCGACATATGTGATATCAGCAAGAGCGCGCCTCTTAGCTGGCGGTGGAGGTATAGGGCTGCCCTGGGTAGGGCGCTTCCTTGCCTAGATTTGTGTATTGCAGGGCGCACATTAAACCTTCTATTAGAGGAACGTCCTGTCTCTCTGTGGATCTATAGGGTGATAACAATCATTGCAGAGTAGGGGAGGTTTATTAGCGTTAAATAGCGGAGGTACTATGTTGTAGGTTGTAGCAGGAGGTATTAGACGGGTATTAGACAACACGCGCAGCGAGGTTTTAGTTTTCGCGCAGGAAATAATTATCCAAGGATCTGCTGTTTTTATGCTTACGTGAGCCTAAAAAGGCTGAAAGCAGTAATTCTTAGCTGCCAAGCCCTAACTAAAGAAAACCAAAGTCCACAGAAAGGAGCGGAGCAAGCTCCGCTAATAACGTGTTTTATATGCGAGCGCTGCACCTAAGCGAGCACCGCAGCATCCCTACTAAAACGCCTTCGCAGCAACACTGCACAACAGTAACTAAGCTTATCTAGTTTAAGATATTAAAGCTTATAGTTTATTTCTCTACAAATACGTAAAATATTTTAACGCTAACAAATAACAGAAACCTTTACATTACCCTCTACAGCAGAGTCTTTAACCTTACTCTCTAGAGGTTGAATTATCTTTTCTAAAAGAGATGCGCTTAACTAGAAAAGAACTAGGAAAAGGCAATGCCTTAGATTCTCTGCAATTGTTAGTAGGTCTTGCGCAATAAGAGGACAGCTGTGTAAGAGCTAATCTGGTTTCCTTAGAACGCATTAACATAATTTAAGGGAAACTAGAAAAGATCTATCTAAATTTACCTCAAAGTAATGAGATCAAAAGCGGTGAAGGTAACTTTATTTAATACAAAGCTTAGATTTATATGTTATCGCCTAAAGGCTGCACTGCAGAAGGAAAAGCAGCACTGTGACCTTCACTAATATCTCTAGCGAGTCGCTTCAACACCACCCCAATAAAGCCACCCCAGAACCCCTCACTCCCCGCGTCCCTCCCATACTTAACTACATTGCGCCAAAGCCTTAGTGCCCGAAAGATGCCACTCACACTCCTTGTCTCGCAGAGGCCCAAGTTGCCAACCTCTGGTCCTAAGATATGCACCGTATCCCTTTCTTCCAACGCCATGTATGCAAAGTAAACGTGCGTCTCATGTCCAGCGATGGTAAAGCAGGGTTCTACTAGTCAGCCCTTTTATACCAGTCCCGCGTGCCGCGCAAGCTGCATCTTCTTCCCCAGGCTGGCTGCAATCCATATGCCGAGTTGATATTCAGCTTCTGTGTAATCGCCGCAGGCGGGATTGACCTCTACACAGGAGAAGAGGGCGGTGGTCTTTGTGAAGGCATCGGCTATGTGGCTTACGATGGGATTGTTTGCGGCTCTTAGACGGTTGTATAGGTCTTCGAAGCTGGGGGATGGCATGTGGGAGAAGGAGAGTGTGAAGTCGGCTTTGCGATCGAGAAGGCGGGGTTTGCCAGAGGCATTGGGCACGGAGGAGAGGAATTCGGTAGCAATGGCTTTGGGACTGTCTGCTCGGAGATCAGCATAGGGTACCACCAACGAGGCGGAGGGTTACCCACACGCTCTGAAGCCAGAACTTCTCCTCCCCTTCAAGCCTCATTACAAGTTTCACGAGCGGCTGGATCACGTCTATACACAACGCATTCTCATCGCGACCCTTCGACTAGCACACTCGCGCGTTTAGCCAGATTTTCTTCACCTTCTGTAGCACATACGCTAGTGGGTCACGCTCCTCGTCATCAACGCCTGGGTGTGAGAGGTTATGCGCTGTGCTCTCACCCCAGACATGACGCTCAATTCTTTGATATCCAAAGTCCTGGTCTTCCTCGATTTGCTCCCGCAGCCAGCCGGGTATCCAGCCTCTGTCCAGCCCGTCACCCCAGTCGCTCCATGACATCACCCACTCTACGCGGTGGCGGTGCCTTCAGCCCTAAGCTTGGTCCCGTTATGGTCGGGGGGATGCGGAAGCCAGTACGGCGATGCTACCCCGCGACGGTACGACGGGCTGTCCGCTCGGCGAGGGCTACTAGCGCCGGCTTGGCTGCCTGGCGGACCGAAGGTATTCCGCTCATTGAGCCCTAGAGCGCTCGCATTTGAGGCCACTCTGGCTGCCAATACCCTGGGGGTAAGCAGCACTTTGGTGTCGCTATCGAGTCTCGGACGCTTGGGGCTGTTGGTGCGTGTTGACATAGATGGTACGAGTATGGGGCACGGGGATTGCGCGCTTCCGCTTCAGCGATGGACATATCTCAGGCGTTGACAGCGAGGAGAGAGCGTCCGTGTGGGTCGAACCTATTTCGGAGAGCTGCTAGATCCAACCTTCCACTCATGATGCCTTTGCAACAGCAGTTGACGGCGACAGTGGAGGCGCCACAGCCATGATGGTCGGGTTGTTTGGCGGTTGCCGACCGGCCAGGTCTGATTCAAGGCACTCAACGCGGCTAGAGTGTGCTGACTTGTGTTGTCATGGAAACAGATAAGCAGAGGCCGCAAGAAATATTGTTCTTCCAATTACAAAGAGGCAATAATCAAGCAATTCATATAGGGCTGCGCAATGCACCTAAACACTAATCTGTAGCCTAACTCTAGATGGAATATTTGGTAGAGCCCCTGTCCACACCGTCACTGGAAGTTTCCTCCCGGTAGCATTTGTAGGTGCCCAGATGTCCATGTAGAGACAGTCTTCCTTGGAGTCACATGAAATATCTGCAGAAGCGATGGAACCGCAGTTCACGGCTGTTTCCAAGCCTTATTCCAAAACAGGCTCTTCTCAGTCACCAAATCATCTTCCTTAACCGAGAGAGTCTCACTAAACACGATCTGCGTCCCCACCGTATAATTCCTCTCATCAAACATAGACCAATAAATCTTATTGTCTTTCCCCATGGCATTTGGAACTCCAGAAAGAACAAATGAATTCAAGTATTTCTGCATTATCCTCGCCACCGTAGTATTAACTTCTTCGCTACCTATACCTACGCCTGCACCACGGCTAGAAGTCCACCCGCTGTGAAATTCGTACTCGTGTTACTAGATGAAGAAGACAAAGAAGCGAGAGTTTACGTTGAATACCAATAGTAGCTTTGATCGGTGCCATGCGTGGCTGTTCCAAGCGCTACGTCTGCGTTCCACGTTTTGTTCATGGCGTGAGTTGCGGCGAGATTGTGGGCGGTGAGATCGAAGGATTGTTTCATGTCGGCGAAACGGAGGCCCGGGGAAGAGTAATCGGATTCTGGGTCTAGGTCGAGAGCCTGTACATGAGGCCGTAGTTAGAAAAATGTGCTAATGAAAGCTAGCTGGTGGCATAGAACAGACCTTGTGCACGAGATCATCAGTGATTGCGGGGAAGAAGATCCGAAGGTATTTAAGATATCCTTCGTGGTGTTGACTCCAGACCAAGCTTGCGAGTTGGCCTCATGGATCTCATAACTAATTACTAGATGACCCGAGAAATTGAGCCGCTTGTTGTAAAAGTGCGCTTCTTATGTATCCGCAACAAAATCCCCGTCCGCTCTGGGTTGAAATTGGTACGTGTACGTATCCACAATATCAGTTGCAGCTGTGTTGAGAGTCGTAAAGGCGACACTGCGCATAAGGTCCAATTGACCTCCATCGTATCCAACCGAGGATGATACGTTTAACTAGAAACCTTCGGCATGATGGTGACCAGCCCCAGGAACAGAACCCTGTGATATAATGTATGCTCAGTTGAAAAGCTGCTCGGCGTGACCCGCAAACCGAGGCATTTGGAATAAAGTCTGTGTGACGCGCCCGCCGAGAACCCTACAGCGGTGATCTTCTCGGGACCTCCATCAGATGCCCCGATATATGTCCTAGTCCATTGAAACGCATGCTGTACATCCCACAATGCGGTATTAGACGTCCCGCCTTCATTCAAGAATGTAAGCCCAAGTCGGTAATTGTAGGAGACAAAAATGAAGTCTTTGGCGAGATTAAAGAGACCCTCGGGAGTGTTTTGCGACTTGGAGCCCCCCGTGAAACCACCACCATATGTCCACTAGCTCACCCTAGTTCACTTCTACGTCCTCACTGATGGAGGGTATAGTTAGGCATGCCACATGATATGGTTTTGAACGAAGTTGCTGATACCCTCGAAGGCACCCCAATGGCGGTGGAATCACGCGAAGCCAGTTTCTCCTAAGTTCGCAAGCTGAACGATCCAACTTCATCCTTTCTTCCTGCGATGTGGTCTTTCACAGTCGTTAGTGCTGCAGCACTTCCCAATGAGGCACAGCTCATCCATGAATCACAATTGACAATAATCGTTGAGGACAGCTTGGCGTCATTAGCTGATCCGGCATCAATACCTCGTGCCATAGTGCTGGAGCTATCGCATTCAGTTCTAGAGGCGCACTTTCCTTTCTTGCGCTATCCTCCGCATTCGTCTCTACTGCAACTATATCAGCGGCAGTATTCCCCTCCCCCAATTGCCAGTGGTTAATCTCGTCTATAATACTCACGCAAGGTGAAGAAATAGCATAGTGGGTTGGATGATTGTTTGCGAACTGGTGACTGTATCTCATCAAGGAAAGGTTCAAAGTTGCCCAAGACTTGTCGACGGTTGATTCATGTCAGGCTCGAGGCGAAATAACGGAACGGATATAGAATGTAGCGTGTAGCGTGTAGATTGCGATATGTGTATATAGTAGCCGGAAGAACTATAACATGATATTAGCTAGCAACAGTGCGAAGGGTCGGACTCCAGAGGGGAAAGTCGAGAAATAAAAGTTGTCCTAGAATGAAGAGATAGTCAACTTACCTCTTGCTCAACATTCACCTCGAACCAATGTCTTAATACCACAAGATATCTTAAGGCGTTCTCACCACCTGGGAGCAATGGAATGGCACAACATGCTCTTTAAGTTCTTTAACATAACACCAATATATAGCAAATTCAAACAAACCATTGTTTCCAAGGTCAGATTAATCTGCTGGCAGAGTCAACCTACATAACATTCCTTGAGCAGCTTCCTATGGAGCAGGCGAGTTAGGTGGTGAGCATGGTGTTTAATAGAACGTAGTACTGCTCCTACTGTTACTGATAGTAACAATCTCTTGGCAGTTAGAACGAAAGTGAATTGCCTTCCGTTACTGTACGGTTAATGAGGCTATAGTTACTGCAGTAACTGCCTATACTATCCATCATTAGTACAGAACAGTGAAGTAACTCCTTGCACTCAAAGCTCGCAGCCAGTTCAACACCTCGCAAGCTCTCGTCGTCTTGAGAAGTCAAAGGCTGCCTCTAGGAGCTCTTATAATTAAGGCCTCATCCTCTAGTTTTTCTATTCTCACAAGTTTCAGGACAATATCTAGACTTGCGACCTCCAGCTGAAACCTAGGGGCCTTAGATATCGTGTGAAGAGCATATTAGCAAGATTGTGTCAAAATTAAGCCCTCTAGAGCCTTCAGTAACACCAGTTGCTGCAGTAACTGCACCAAACAGTAACTTTACTATTAATTAACTTGGCAGTAACTGTTACTGCCCGTAAGGCTGTTTTAATTCACTCTTTCCGTAAGAACGAAACCCTATTGCCGCCAGTAACGCCTCAAAAACACTACTAACAGTAACAGTTACGTTCTATTAAACACCATGGTGGTGAGAACCAAACTAGGTGAATTGAGCGGTAGTGCAAGGTCTGAGGAGCGAGAGGAAGCTCCGAGGCGAATAAATAGCAGAAAAAGAGGAGCTAATCCCAATAAGGTGGGATAAGAGGCTTGAATTATCTCGCTTGGACTTGCTTGACAAGCTTGATCCATTATATGCCAAAATCGAAGCCTTTCTTGTCACTGCCCTAGGCAACTTTTCCCCCACTAAAATTGTCTGGGAGTTTAAAATATTAACAGGATCCGCTATATATTAGACAAAAACGTAATAGGAATGCCCTGGGTAAGTTGAAGATTGTAGTTTGTATAGAGGAGCGTGTATAACTACTAAGTTTTTTAAGAGTAACAACGCTTTAGTTTACAATGTATTGCCTATAGCATCTCTAGCCTTCCTAGTTAGTTTAACTAAGTACTTAACAGCTAATTAGTTGGTAGCTTTTCTACTTAGGGGGAAGCTTGCTCTTTATAGCCACTAGAATACAGTAAGCTTCTCCTACTTATTCTTATTACTACAACAGATTACAACGGGCTAACTTCTATTTATTACTATTGGTAGGCTCCTTAGGCTTCCTTAACAGGTCCTGCTCCCTTGCCTGCGTAGAATAGGTTAGTTGTCTACTCTCTAGGTTAATCTAATCTGGTTTAGAGGACTAGGACTACTCTTGCCCTCTGTTTTAGGCGTAGTATTATCCTGTTACTCTACTAAAATATGCTCAAAGTAGTATCTTTATATGAATTTAAGGCTTCAACTTACTAAAATGTTCCTAGGAAAAATTATTCTTATGTTAGTGTACGGGTGCTCGGATCCATAAGATTAGCGGTACGGCTAAATGCACTAAGCGATAGCTAGAAGGTATGCACAAGTTGAATCAGCGAGAATTCAGCCTGCATAGTCGATATTTATGAGCAAGATGGAGTGTCCCCAAGACAGATGCTGGGTCCCACCCAGATCTTTGATCTGGCCCGCATACCGGCCCTCATAGGCCAACCCATCACAATTAGGGATTCTGTTGAAATCTTGTTATGCTATACAATTTCAGTAATGGAAAAAAGATCCAACGAACCGCTAAGAAAGGCCCTGATTTTTCCATAAACTAGATTCGCCACTCTTGCCTGAGTATCGCGATCACTGCACACATATCAACCTCTGTGACGGGGCAGCCAATTTTCTCCGCTCATAAGATACACTAGATTTTCGCTTAAAGCAGGCTTTCCCCACTGACTAAAATCAGGTCGTGCCAATCCAGCCACCAACTACCAATCCGCTGCTAACGATCTAGAGGATGAGCCTAACTATGTTAAAACACCCCAAGAGAGGAACGTGCTAGGAACCACCCAAACCTTCCTCCCTTCTTCGCCATGACCTTTGAGCACGGCGTAATGACCGGATGCCACTCAAACAAACTCCTCATTGGCTATTGTAAATGCGCCAAGATATAGTATATCCAGCTCTCACACCCTCAAAAGACCGGTGACGGGTGTCACTCTTCAAAGAAGCCGACCAAGGTTCCGTGGAACACCACTTGCATTAGGGAAGCGAATTCTGCGAGATTGAGGACTACCTCCGGCTTTTCGTATTTTCAATGCGGTATCGGAATGATTCTGCACTAGAGGGCCCGCTTTGGGAAGTTGCTTGTTTCTATTTCTGGATTGGTGGGTTAGACGAGGAGTGCGTAAGCCGAGATCATTTAGTCTCGAGACCAGTCACCGCGTCGAAATATATTAAAGATAACAAGGATTATAACTAGCAGAAACAGGGGGGGGGAGAAATCCTGTTGGCCTTCTGAGGGAGTTATAATGTCTGCCAATGAGTTCGACGTGAATTCTAGTGGTCATGCGGAGGGAGACACTGCCGTGGAATAGTCACCGGTGGTCGCAATAAGAGAAGGGACCCTAGGTTTCTTCCTAGGACTCTAGAGATGCTAACATCCTTCCAATTACAATCAAGATTCCCATTTCTCTCATTTCCCTAAAAGCCCAGCCGTCCCGCCCGTGACTCCAATTCCTATTTCCTTTCCCAGCCCTTGCGCAAAGCTACCTTACCTCATAATCCCTCCTCACCTCAATAGCATTCATAGGATACGTCTGGACACTAAACCCATCAGGGCTCTTCACTGCATCCGCAGTCGTAATTGCTGCCTGGCTATCGGTATCCGTGCTCTGATCCGCCGAATGATACTTCTTACTCTTCTGCGAACTTCGCTGGAAGAAATTCTTCGACCCACCAGATCGAGAAGGCCGCGATGCTTCGGCGGCTGTAGCGAGAGAGTGGCCAGTTGCCCAACGTAAGAGAGGGCGAAATGTTGGGAGACAGACGGACGTAATAGCACTGTGAGGTGTCAGCGGAGGAATGGGGGAGTGGAGAGAGGTGACTTCTTTGCGGGAAATGGAGCTTACCAGAAAACTTCTACCGCAGTCCACTTCATTAGGGTTACCGAATCCCACGTTGGATCCGCGAGCGAGAAATTGTTAAAGATATTTGCTAATCGGACTGCGGAGATAATACTCGTGAAGCCGCCGAAGAACAGCGTAAATGTAATCAACAATTTCTGCTTCAGCGAGACCTGTAGGTTCCACACATACGGAGCTGGAACCAGGGTGATTATGAAATCACACAACATGTTAGGGAAAGTAATGCCGACGTAGAATTTGTACGTATCGATGCATCTCTTGTCAGTGATTGTGATGTCCCAGAAGGCGTTTACGGGAACACAAGAGAAGATACTAGTGAAGAGCTACGGCAGTAAGCATGTATTCTGCAACGATGGGAGAGGTGGGGTTACAATAGCGATAAACCAGCTCAATGTAAAACAGAGAAGACCGACGAGAATGTAGCGCATTGATGTCTTTCCAAATATCCTCCACAAAAAAGCAATAATGGAAAGCTTTGCTGTCGAAATAGCGGTTGTGTAAAGTAACTCTAACACAAAAATCGAGGTCATAAAGTCCTTGATAACGGTTGGGTGAATTATCATGGCGGCTCCAATATGTCGACCAAAGCCCATTCCTCGCCATGTCCCAACAACGGAGTAAATCGCAACACCGCATGCCTTCTTTACTGTTAGCTGCCTAACATTATATTGATCTAGCACTTAGGAAAACCTACTCCTGTGATACCAGCGAAATAATCATCATACCAAAGCGGCCTCTTTGAGATCCAGCCGGCAATAAACCTCAGACAAACGCATGTAGTGGCAATAGCAAACGTCACCGTCGCCGGGATAAAGACATCATTAAACCGATTCGCAGTGAAATAATCCGGTGGTAGCTGAGCGTTAGGGTCCATGGTGAGGTTGAAATACAGTGTGGGTGCGCAAGAAGGAAGGGAAATAGTGGCTTGACGCGTGAAGCACAATTGTGATACCAAAAGCTAATTGAGCTTGAAGCGAGTTCTGCAATGCGGCGAAGGCACCAATCTCCACTTTAAGGTAAAAGGGCGTTGCGCCCGAATGACGGCATCACTTACCCTCGCTGTGAGACGTAGAGAGTTCAGAAAAGTCCGTTGAGTGAACTGTTGGGTCTTCCTGAGATGCGACGTTGATGTGATACTGTCGGGATACCAACGCACCGGGTGCGTCTCGTATCCACTTTTGCCGCCTGGATTTAGATCCCCGACAGACCTCGCCAAGGATTTCTACGAGAGCATGTGGCCACCCCATTAAGGGCCTGCACAATGGTTCCAAAGATGAAAAGAGGAAAGCTGGATTTTCGTTTGGACGCCAAGTGCGCAAGATAGGTCCGATGTAGAGACTGAGCTGCCCCATTGAGATGGAAATGCCCTACGCACGTCAACGGACTTTCAAGAAATCCTACGGAGGGTTCCGGTGTGGACGAGGGTGATATGTTTCTACAACAAGTATAGATGACTAGAGGCCATCCTCCAGCGAAGTCCGATTTATTAGCCAACATGCTTGAGGGTAAGCACCAGTGATTAGATGCCGTAGCTTAATCTGTCGAGAACTGGAATTTCGGTAGAGAGAGAGTCGACTAATCCCAGCCCCAGCGTGATAGATTACTCTGCAGGACGAGCCCCGAACCCAAGACTCAGCAAAGTGCATCGTTATTGCAGACTCGATATTGCGAGGGGGCTGTGTGGGGTGTTCCCCGGACAGGGTAGGGAACAATCGTGAGACCGGAGTTGACGATGGTTCTGGACTGGAGCGAAATGAGAGTACCACCGGTTTTATTGTTATCCATCTGGTTTGACATGTGAAGTTCCCATTTATTTGTTTAGAGGAGAGCAGACTTTTCGCGCGAACTGAGTGCACCGTCACTCGCTTTCATTATCATTTCCGTCTCCCACCACAAGGTCACCTGGAATCTTGACAATGCACTTCCTCTGCCTCCATGGTATCGGAACCAACAGTGATGTCCGCGCACCCTTACCCCGTAAATGTCCCGCCTAACACCTCTCCAGATCTTCCAAGCTCAGACAGCAGCGATACGGTTCGAACTTGGCGATGAACACACTTACGATTTTGTGGATGGCCCGATCGCCTGCGAACCAGCCAATGGTGTGTAATTCACCCCTCAGTGTTTCTTTATCGTGTTGGTAATTATTTGTGGTGTAGGAATTGAGAGAATGATGGCATCGAAAGCTGGCACTGTAGACATACCTCAATGCTATTCATATTTTGACTGGTATTCACCAGAGAGTATCCTCAGCGCAATAGACTGGCTCTCATCGTATATCGAAACCAACGGACCGTACGATGGCGTTATCGCATTTTCTCAGGGAACATGTCTCGTCTCGACACTCATGTTGCAACATTCCCGCCTGGACCTCGACGGCGAAGAACCACTATTCAAGTGCGTAATACTCTTTAGTGGAATACTACCCCTGAATATTGAGGCTCTCGAGCTTGGTCGGCGTGTGCAGTTTGGAAGAGTGGATCCATCAGAGGCGCAATATAGCGACAGCGACAACGAGAGCGAGATTAGCGTCGATGAGAGCGATGGAGAATTGGTTGAGCCCTTTCAGATCCCCTCTGCGCATATCTGGGGGACTAATGATGACTACCCGCTGCCTCAAGGTGCGAGGGTGAGTGAACTGTTTGCTGCCCGAATGAGGTCTTCTGTGACGCACCAGGAAGGGCATTCGATACCCGGGGCGCGAATGGGCGGAAATGTGTCGAAGATTGTAAGGCAAATCCGGAAGACAATTGAGAGGGCAGAGATGGCGCATTGAGATTTATTTAAAGAGTACCTAGGTAGCGATCGGGAGTACAAATAAGGCCCCGCAGACTATCGTAGATGATACCAAGAACTGGAGGCTAGATTTAAGACTTTATCATTTGTATATTAATGTTGGTCACTGTACTACTATGAAAGGTTCTCCAGATGGTAGCAAGAACATGGTCGAGTGACGTTCGCGACGAAGCTGCTGTGAAACGTTATCCCGCTCGAAAAGATCCTGTCGGTACATGACTGCGCCGCCCAAGGAAGGTAAAATCCTTGAATCCTTCGTCCACCTCAAAGGTACAAAAACCACCGGCTGCCTTCCGGATGCTTCGAGGTGCGCCGAAATCTTTTGTGCAGGATGCAGTCGGCAAAAGTGGGTCTTTAGCAAGGATCTTCGGCCACTAAACGTGCGGCCCGAGAGCCAGATCCCCATCAAAACCCAGAGGAGGGGCCGGATTCACGGTGGCCTGTTGTCAGGCCAGTCCAGGATGTCATTGGTGTGATGGTCTCGTGTTCTCGATAACGACAATTGGGGGCTGAAAACGTCCAGCCTCTAGCTTTCTGCTCCTGGAGGAGCGCATCTGTCGGCAAATATCTGTTATCTTCCTTCTTGTACTCTCACGCCGTTATTGCGATTTTCATTTCCTGTCAAACCTCAAGGGTGGATTTCGTAACGTCGACCGAACTTAAGAAACGGAAAACGTGGATAATACCAATACGAGCGGACTACAAACTGCATCAATAGTTGCCCCGTGTAACATATTTATTTCGATCCACGGTTTGAACGATCGCATTGAAATCCGAAATGCGAATAACGATACATTCGCGCATAAAACGCTGACGAACTTAACCTAACCCTGTTGTCATCCGACTAGGAAGCTCGAGTGACAAACTTTTCCACCAGCTCGACGGCGACATTGGCCACCTCTTCCGTGACCTCAACACCAATGCCATGCGGACCGTCAATACTAGCCGTAAGCGTAATACCACTCTTCTCAATATATATCTCCCTAAGTTCTGGCAGAACAATAGCGTCCCGAAGGAGATGCACGTATGCCAAGGAATCGTTGTAGTAGGGATCCTGGAATGGTGCATAAGAGATTGGAGTTGCCAGGGCGGTCATCGAAACGGGGCTAAGCTTTGACATCCATTCCGCGGCCTCCTCGGCCGAGATATCTGGCCACAACCACGTTCGGTCAGAGAAGGTGAGTGTTCCAGGCTTGCTCTATGCCAATGTTAGCGAGTGGTTAGCTCGACGCCCATGGAAAAACTTACCCCAGTAGCAACCCATCCAGGCAGGGTCGTAATGTTCAATGTTGCCAGCGCCGATTGGCCGGGTTCGGAAGTGAAAGATGCCGCGTAAATCAAGCCAATAACTCCACCTTGTTCTCCTTTCTCGGACCGCTCCTTTTTGCTCAAGCCTTGGACAGCTGCGGCTCCGTAGGTGCCACCGTACGAATGCATCAGAAGGACGATGTCCTTGCCTTCCGCGAGGAGAGGGGTAAGCACCTGATTCCGAACGAAGCTGACATCAGCATCGACAGTGACGGTTGTTGCGTCCTCTGCAGTGATGCTGGGAGGATTCTGGCAGATGGCTGGATAGCCCTTGGCTTCGAGGCTCGATAACAGGGACGAGTAGAACTCCACGCCATGTGCTGCCCCCGGTACTACAACGATAGTGGGAATCGCCATTGTTAGAATGAAGCGAGAGAGTATGAGGAGGAGCTGAAAAGCTGAGGATGACCGTGAGAAGGAAACCATTAGCGCGTGAGGATAATATGTAAACCACGTGGAAAAGTGAAACAATTCATTAAACAGACGTTACAACCCAGGGAGTTTGGCATATTTAAAACCAACAAACCGTTATTGCGCTGATATTCGGTGCTGAAGAACCCTGTTTCGGTGGTTCGTTTGCGAATATTTGGGCTTGCTGCATGGCTCCGAGTTGGTACACTAAAGATGCAGCCTTGCGGCTCGAATCACGGACTGCAACCACCCCATGGATGTGATGGGTTCTCACACACGGTCACTAGAGCCAAGGTAGTGGATGCTGTCGGAGTGTTACCTTAGATTTGAACGTTCCGGGATGCCTGAAAATACCTACACCCTTCATGAAACCCTATTTTGGAAACCAGAGGTACTCCTCTTAGCATTAGTTCCTTCGAAGGTAAATTTCCGACTCCACATTAGGAAACACCAAGGCTAAATAATGGGACGGTGTTGGATATTGATTACAATCCCCGCGCCTCTCGTATTAATGATTCCCGAACCCCAGAATCTGGAAAAGTCCTGAACTGGAGCGCGCGTATCTGCGGATGTTATTGAGGGACGTCACCGGCCGTACCCGCCATTGAGAATTGTGCTTCGCCCGATGCTAGTTCTATCTATCGTCGGACATTGGCGCTGGACTAGACACCGCAAACATTACGAATTGCTCACACTTTTAGCGGTGGAAAGTTCATATTGGTCCTCGGTTCGCCGGCGCTCATTCTTAAATTGGGAAATAGAAGAGGCTGTGTTCCACCAAGCCTTTCGAGATGGATGAGCAATCATGCCATCTCCTTCCCATGACCCCCACCAAGCTACGGCGACTGGGGATGGATATTACGGCACGGAGCGGGGATCTATCGGCTGAATGCCGAGACCAAGATATCCTGGATTGACTGGATTGAGTGGAGCAGGCTGAGTCGCGATGCATCAGCCCCAGATCAAAGTAATCTTTCTTGACTCAAGTCCAGAGCTATAGGTATGGGATAGATCCGTTCCAGACATCGTCTCGTTGAGGATGTCTTTGGTTGCCGCATTCATCCATCCTTACCTCTCTTTTCTCGGCCACAAGACTGCTTTTTAATCCCTATTATCGAAAATGCCTAGCAGCGAAATCCTCCCCTCTCCATCCTACCAAGCAGATAGAGATGTTGTCGAACCGATTGCCATCGTTGGCTTTTCCGTCAAGTTCCCGGGGGAAGCCAAAACGTCTGAAGACTTTTGGCAGATGATATCTGAGAAAAATTGCGCCTCAAAACTCTTCCCTAAGGATCGTATGAATGTGGACGCATTTTACCATCCTGATGGCACAAGACCGGACTCAGTACCCGTCCGGCATGCACATTTCTTAGAAGAAGATCTTGGCGCTTTCGACGCACCGTTCTTTTCTCTCACGCCGTCAGAGGCAATGTCCATGGACCCGCAGCACCGCGGGCTTCTCGAAACAGCATACAGGGCTCTCGAGAATGCAGGAATACCATTAGAAAAAATCGATGGAACCAAAGCGGGAGTCTTTACCGGAACATTCACCGACGACTATCGCATCGCGACATTTAAAGACGCCGCTGCTATGCCCAAACATGCCGCAATCGGAGTAGGCCAAAACTTCTCCGCAAATCGCCTGAGTTGGGCTTTCAATCTCAAAGGTCCAAGTTTGCAAATTGACACTGCATGTTCAAGCAGCTTGATAGCACTAGATTTAGCTTGTCAGAGCCTCCGAAATAGGGATAGTTCCATAGCACTAGTCGGGGGAGCTAGCGTCATTTCTAGCATCGAGACGACAATGTCCCTTTCAAATATGGGTTTCCTCTCACCAAACGGTCGATGTTTTAGTTTCGACGAGCGGGGAAATGGATACGCCCGGGGCGAGGGTTTCGGCGTCCTGATAATCAAGTTGCTCTCTGATGCTATTCAAGACGGCGACTCTATAAGAGCCGTAGTTCGGTCATCTGGCTCAAACCAAAATGGCCGAAATCGAAGTATCACGCAAACAAGCAAGGTGGACCAAGTGCAGCTTATGCGCGACACATACGCGAAAGCCGGTCTTGATCTCGCAACTACCAGGTTTGTCGAGGCTCATGGAACTGGAACGGCGGTTGGTGACCCGAATGAGGCGAATGCCATTGGCGAGGTGTTCGGCCAATACAGGACTCCTGAGCAACCGTTATATGTGTGAGTTCACCCCAGTAAGACTAGAATCCCAGCTGATCGTGGTTAAGGGGAGCTGTGAAATCTAATATCGGTCATCTTGAGGGTGCGAGTGGAATTGCAGGCGTCGTGAAAGCGGTGCTGGCCCTGGAAAAAGGCGTAATCCCACCAAACACGAATTTTAAGCGTCTCCACCCTCGAATAAAAGCGAAGGCCCACAATCTCGAGTTTCCAACATTGACTATTCCCTGGCCAGACGCTATACGTCGGGCATCCGTAAATTCTTTCGGATTCGGAGGATCGAATGCCCATGTTGTGATGGACGATGCCTTGAGTTATCTGCACTCTCGAGGTCTCCAAGCTCACCACTGCACGATATCACATCCCCCGGCCTCTTTGACTCATGGCGACGTTAACGGGGATGATATTGCAATTGAACGCAAAGAAGGCCCCCGTAACGCTATGTTGAATGGAATGTTGTCGGTGACTGAAGAGAAGCAGCCCCGGCTGCTTGTGTTCTCGGCTTTTAACGATGATGCGGTGAAACGCGTCGTGAAGTCGTATTCAGCATACTTTGCCAAACAATTAAACAAAAAGTCCTTGGGTGACGTATCATATGTCAACAACCTCGCTTACACTCTTTATAATCGACGGACCCGCCTCCCTTGCCGATCCGTTGCGCTCGTAGATCACGTTTGTGGACTACCCAAATTAGATGAACTGGTATCAAAGCCCAATCGATCCAGCTCCAAGCTCGGATTAGGATTCGTCTTCACGGGACAGGGCGCTCAGTATGCTGGAATGGGAAAGGAGCTCCTCCGGTATACCGCATTTCGAGATACGTTTCTGAGGTTCGGATCAGTGTTGAGCATCTTAGGCTGCGAATGGTCTCTCTTCGGTACAGCACACCACTTAGAAACATGGGATCAAACTAATTTCCTGTAGATGAGCTTCTCAAGGAAGACGATGTATCGCGCATCCATGAGCCGGAGTTTAGTCAGCCTATATGCACTGCCTTGCAAATATCCTTGGTTCAGCTCCTGCAAAGCTACGGAATCCACCCAGCGACTGTTGTAGGCCATTCGTCTGGAGAGATTGCAGCAGCATACACTGCTGGAGCCTTGTCGTTTGATTCCGCATGCAAAGTGGCCTACTTCCGAGGTAAGTTGACTGCGTCTTTATGCCACTCTGGCGAGCGCAATGGGGGAATGCTGGCAGTGGGCCTCTCAGAACCCGAGGTGGAGGCTTACTTGAAGCGACTTCATCCTAAGGCTGCAACTCGCAGGATTGTGGCAGCCTGCATCAACAGCCCAAAGAGCGTAACAGTCTCAGGAGATCTGGACCAAATAGACGGCCTGAAGGCAGCACTTGAAAAAGATGGGATCTTTAACCGGAAGCTTCGAGTTGATGTTGCTTATCATTCAAAGCACATGGAGGCTATTGCGTCCCACTATGCCGACTCACTCCAGGACCTAGCCCCAGGGAGTCCTTCGAGCACCACAATGGTGTCATCTGTCACCGGCAAGATCATTTCAGCGGATGAGTTATGCAGCAAAGAGTATTGGGTTCGAAATCTGGTGTCACCGGTGCGGTTTTCCGACGCTATAAGCGCACTCGCTGTGACCCCGAGCAGTGTTAGTTCCCGTAAGTCGTATACTCAGAAGCAGAAAGCTCCTCAAATATTCAATCTCGTGGAGATCGGACCGCACTCAACACTGCAAGGCCCTATTCGCGATACATTGGCAGGGTCCGCTCGTGGAAACCAAATCAATTATACAGCAGCTATTAAGAGAAATACACAGCCCATTGAGACCCTCCTAAGTGCGGTGGGCTCGTTGTGGTGTCAGGGGTACGAGATAGATATCAGCGCGGTGAACGAGCAGAAGAACAAACATTTTGACGTGCTCACGGATCTCCCGGAATACCCCTTCGACCACTCGCAATCGTATTTGCACAAGCCGCGGCTACAGAAAGACTTCCTAGGACGAGATTATCCAAGACTTGATCTTCTGGGCTCCCCGGTCGTCGGATTCAATCCACTAGAGCCGGCTTGGAGGAAGTTCATACGGATTAGTGAAACTCCCTGGATAGAGGACCATAAGGTGAACGGGGCCATTCTATACCCAGCAGCTGGAATGCTAGTCATGGCTATCGAAGCAGCTAAGCTTATGGCACCGCCAAATAAGGAGGCCGCTGGTTTCATGATCAAGGAAGCCTCTTTCGACAATTCGCTCGCCATACCAGCAAACGATCAAGGTGTAGAGGTCCAATTACACCTGCGTCCCCTGCTCCGTGACATTAATAAAGTTGCCGACACGTTCCAGTTCACTTTGTGCTCATACTCCGACGACCGGTGGGTACGAAACTGCCACGGCACGATCGAAATACGCTTGGCGGAGAATGACGCAATCTGCAGCAGTTCTTGGCATTGGTTTGATATTGGACCGTTTGAGGATTGCAAGCGTTTTGTAGACAAACGGAAGGTATATGAGCATTTCCAGATGTCCGGGTTCCATTATGGTCCGGCGTTTCAAGGTTTAAATCGGATCCATTACGATACGGCTAATAGGGCGCTTGCTGATGTGGAGCTGTTTCCCTGGGGTGAGCAAGAGGAAGCAAACCATGCCCAGGATCATATCATCCACCCCACTACTCTCGACGCCCTTGCCCAACTAGCTTTGGTTGGCTTGACGGACGGAGCGCGCGAAGTTCCTCCAATAAATCTTCCGACCGGGACGAAAAACCTATGGATCTCCTCGCGTGGTTTGTCACACCCAGGCTCTGCCCTAGTGAAGGCATTTGCGGACACTAAATTCAAAAGCGAGAGACAGAATGAGTTTTCCATCACGGCCGTGGACTACAATACTGGTGAAGTTCTCTTATCCTGGGCATGTCTCGAGACGACAAACATTGGACGAGCAGATACTACTGAAATGGACAGAAAGAAGCAAATGTGTTATCAATTTGACCTTAAGCCAGATATTGACTTGATGGACATGCATAGCGCTAGGAATTATTGCACTATCAATCAAGACCAGAAAGAGAAGCATCGTGATGACCTCGAAATATACATGGTCGGGGTAATTAAAAGAGTTCTACATGAGCTGTCTGATTTAGACATTAGTACACTTCAGAGACACCACCAGAAGTACCTCATGTGGATTCGTAAGAGGCTCGAAGACTTCAAGGCTACTGCCTCTGCAGACCAGCTTGAAAGGTTGGACGATGATCAAGACCACCTCGATCTACGGGATCGGATAAGACGTCTGAATGGAGAAGGGAGGTTCTACTCCGAGGTCGGCTCGCATGTTCTAGACGTTCTTCGCGGAGCGGCCGATCCACTAGCCATTCTCTTCGAAGGCGATCTCGCTCGAGACCTATATCAAGATTTAAATTTGAGAATCTCAGGATCGCTGTCTCGTCTCGTAGAACTTCTAGCCCATAAGAACCCTAATATGAAGATCGCAGAAATTGGGGCTGGAACGGGTGGCACCACTTCGGTGATACTCGACAGCTTGGTGCATGGGACAACCTCAAGGTTCAGCCAATACGATTACACGGATATATCCGCTTCATTCTTCGAATCCGCAAAAGGCATGTTTGAGACATACGCACCGAAGATTAGGTTTAAAACGTTCGATGTTGAGCAGGATCCAATAAAGCAAGGCTTCCAGTTAGGTAGCTACGACCTGCTGATCGCAGCAAATGTTCTCCATGCGACCCAAAGCCTCGAGGTGACATTGCGAAATGTCCACACTCTTCTGAAACCGGGTGGAAAGCTCGTTCTAATTGAAGTCACCAACAACCTACAGAAGGCAGGGTTTGGAATGGGTCTGCTTCCAGGATGGTGGCTTAGTACGGAAGACTTCAGAACAACAGGCCCTTGTATGCCGGAAAATCGATGGGATGATATATTGAGACAAGCAGGCTTCTCTGGACTCGATGTTGCTCTTCGGGATTCTACGGACGACGCACACTATGAGCAAAGTATATTGGTGTCAACCTCAAAAGCGAGTTATACAAGTACTGAGGGTTCTGGGAACATCATCGTTCTCGCACAAAACGGGTCAGAGAAGCAAAAATCAATGGCAACGGAGATCCAAAACGAACTTGGGAAATTCCATAATGTCGATTGCGTGATTCGATCGATTGAGGCTCTCGAAGTAGGGGAACTTCACCAAGCATTTTGTATCTCGCTTCTGGAACTTGAAGAGCCGGTATTCGCAGACATAGGTCAAGAGTCATTTTCATGCATTCAGAAGATTTTGACCGAGGCAAATGCTATCCTCTGGATATCAACGGATACCAACAAAGTAGAAGACAAGTCCAAATTCCGAATGATAGATGGTCTGCGAAGAGTAGTTGTCTCGGAAAATTGCGACACTCGTTTCGTGACGGTAGCACTTGAAGAATCGAGCATTGGAGAAAGAAGCCAGGCCCAGCGGATCGTTCAACTTTATGAAGACACGGTGTCGGCAGCTTTCGGGAACTTCGAAGAAGAATACACTGAGCGGGATGGCATCCTCTGCATTAAACGAATGATAGAGGCCAGTGAGATTAATCAACACCTCGAAAAACAAACAGCGCCTTTGCAGGTAGAAGAGCGTCTATTCCGAGATGTTCCCTCACTACGGCTTGAGTTCGAATCCCCTGGAGTTCTAGATTCACTCCTGTTCGTTGAGGACCCAACTCCAGAGAACCAGCTCGGTGAGGGTGAAGTTATGGTCGAGGTCAAGGGAGTTGGGGTTAACTTCAGAGACTGCCTCATCGCACTTGGTCGAATGAAAGACTCCATGAAAACCATCGGCTTTGAACTCTCTGGTGTAGTTACTAAGGTCGGCTTTGATACAGAGTTCAAAGTTGGTGATCGTGTGTATGGACTGTGTCCTTCGGGTTGCTTTTCAACATTCGCGATAGTACCGGGATCGCTTTTGGTGAAGATTCCTGAAGGCATATCCTTCAAAGATGCAGCCGGATTACCCACGGGACTTGTTACGGCATACTACTCCCTCATCGACGTAGCTCGGCTTCGCTCTGGCGAAACAGTCTTAATCCACTCGGCTTCTGGAGGGACGGGACAACTGGCTATACAGATTGCTCAGCACCTAGGAGCCACAATCTTTGTTACTGTCGGAACAGAAGAAAAAAAGCAGCTGATGATACAGAAATACCACATCCCAGAGGACCATGTATTTTCTAGTCGATCAATCGGATTCGCTTCCCATCTTATGCGGCTTACGAATGGCCGGGGTGTCGATGTGGTTCTAAATTCCTTGTCTGACGAGAAATTGGCTGCATCCTGGGAGTGTATGGCACCTCTCGGAAGGTTTGTCGAAATAGGGAAGAAAGATGTCTTCGCGAATTCGAAGCTCTCGATGTTGCCATTCGCTAAAAACGTATCTTTCACAGTTGTTGATATGTTCGGTTTGGCGCAGGAGCGGCCTAACAAACTGAAGGCAATATTGCAAAGAGGGGATGAGCTGGTGAGGCAGTACGCAGTTTGGACTCCTCAGCCGGTCCATGTGTACGGCGTTGGACATATTGAAGAGGCATTCCGGTATATGCAGAGCGGACAGAATATGGGGAAAATTATCATAGACATGAGACACAATGAGTTGGTCAAGGTGAGGCTCCTAGTCCCAGAGATAGTTCCCCCAAGATTAACCCAACAACAGGCTATTGTTCGCTCACCGTTGACTTGGATGTTCGATCCGAATGCATCGTATGTACTTGCTGGAGGGTTCGGAGGGATCCTCCGCAGCACAGCTCGTTGGATAGCATCTCGTGGTGGTCGGAATTTGATCATACTTTCTCGGTCAGGAGTACGACCAGGGAAATCTGCAGATCTTGTGGGGTATCTAGAGAGCCAGGGTGTTCGAATAGCCGCACCGAGGTGTGATGTGTCCAATACAGAGGAAGTAGCCGCCGCTTTGAGATCCTGTAAAGAAGATGGTATGCCTCCAATAAAAGGCTGTATCCAGGGAAGCATGGTATTGAGGGTACGTAGAACGTTGCAGGCAGATTTGGAAGAGCTTTGCTGACTCCCACAGGACGCTCTGTTCGAGAAAATGTCGCAAGAGGATTGGAGCACCACAGTCAAGCCACGTGTGCAAGGCACGTGGAATCTCCACAAATTGCTCCCCCATGGAATGGATTTCTTCGTGATGTTGTCCTCCGTCACTGGAATCGTCGGATCGGCCGGCCAAGCGAACTATGCGGCATCAAACAATTATATGGACGCGTTCGCCCGTTATCGGGTCAATCAAGGAGAGAAAGCGACATCGCTTGACCTAGGTTGGGTGGAGAGCGAAGGCATTGTTGCCGAGACTGAGGGACTTGCACGACAGTGGATCGTGGCTGGTTGTTGGATTCCCGTCTCGCAGCCGGATTTGTTCGGACTGTTGGATTACTATTGTGATCCAAATCTCAAGATCGATAGCAGCTCGGTGAATTCCGCTCAAATCCTGATTGGGTTGGGGCCGCCGGCCATGGTCCACGCAAAAGGGATCTCTGATCTCCCGGACTTCATGAACAGGCCAATGTTCAGATATCTCCATCAAATGGAGCTGGACGATAAGCCAACGGCCGGGTCTTCATCTGAGGGAGCCGAAATCGACCACGCATCTCTGTTCAGAGGTGCGAGCAACAACGATGAAGCTGCAGAGCATGTAGTCGACGCACTCGTGCGAAGGGTGGCAAAAGCCATGGCTATGCCGACGGATGATATCGACTCACGAAAACCCCTGCACGCGTACGGTGTCGACTCACTGTTGGCAATTGAGCTAAGGACATGGTTTAGAAAGTACTTTGGTGTTGATATAGCCGTCTTCGAACTCATCGGTGCGAAGGATTTCCTTGCGGTGGCAGAGAGAGTCGCCCGAATCGCGAGTGCCGCGTAGAAATGTCACGGCTCTTCTTCTTTCGGATTAGCGGATAATGTAAGCAACGTAGCCTCCGTCTCTTACTTAGATGCACCACTTCTTGTTGAGTTTGATTCTCAGGCTATAAAGCGCTGAATTTATTCTCTCTCAACTATTCTAAGTTTTTACGGTTTGGAATTCATCTTACTCCAACATCCGAATACCTTATGATGACGACTCCTATCCCCAAAACTATGCACGCATGGCGAAAACACCGAGGAAACATGGAAGCGGTCTGCTTATATTTCCCCACTTTCTCAATATCTCACATACTAAATTCCCTAGGTATGGGAAGAAATTCCTGTTCCTTCCGCCCCACCAACCGGCTTCTTGGTTAAACTCATCGCCTCCGGCGTATGCCGCAGCGACCACAATCTACTCACCAATGAAAAGCAACCGTCCTGGTTTCAGCAGCAGTTTACTCTCGGCCATGAAGGCTGTGGTACTATCATTGAAGTTGGGGACTGCGTTCCATCTAATTGCGGCTTCAAGATCGGCGACGTGATCGCGCTTTTATCGGTCCCTGGGTGCGGTCAAGACGACTGTCCTGAATGTAGTAGGGACTTACCGCAATTGTGTCAGACAGGGTACCATTCGGGGATAGGCCAAGATGGATTCTATGCACCGTATGCGACGATTGATGTTCGCGGTGCGGTGAAGGTTCCGCAAGGAGTCACGCCCTCTCAAGCTGCAGTTGCAACGGACGCCGTGACAACGGCCTATCATGCTATCCATCGACGAGGTGAGATTAAGGAAAATGAAACAGTGTTTTTATTCGGACTCGGGGGTCTAGGCTTCAACGCTTTGCAGCTAATTCGAGCAATCGGGGCCAGAGTTATTGTGAGCGATATTAAGCAGGAGAATATGGATGAGGCGAAGAAACTGGGTGTTCCAGAGCAAGATTTAGTGCCGGTCGGGAGATCGGTGAGGAAGTTTGTGGAGGAGAAGGGGTTGGTGGGGAAGATTGACACTGTGGCGGATTTTGCAGGGACGCAGGAGACTTTTGAGGATGCGCAATATATCGGTAAGCTAGTACCCTCCACCCAAGACTTACAAAAACTAGAATAGTGACATCCGTTTTCAGTCCGGCAAGCTGGGAAGATGCTCTGTGTAGGAACCTTGAACCACAAGAACACGGTGCACATGAAGATTGGTATTCGCAAAAGGCTGAGCATCATTTTCTCATACGGCGGGCAAACTCAAGATCTAGCTAAAGCTCTCGAGCTGATTCAGCAAGGGGTCTTGAATCCTCAGGTCGAAGATGGGAAGCTTTACGATTTCCCCGCTGTTCTGAAAGCCTTGGAAGCTGGGAATATCAAGGGCCGAATAGCTCTGTTGCAAGGCTAAATGTTTGCAGTTATGGAGCTCTCACCAACTACGCTGAACTCCTTTTGTAGCTCACTCCTTTGTATATAAATAAACCCTTCGGATACACACTTTTGCAATCAACTCAGTTTCTCATGACTCTAGTGCTCCCAGTAACTTCACACTAAAGCTAGGAGATTTCAAAAAGCTCTTTCGTTCTACAACCCCGCTTTTACTCTTTCTTTAGAAGGCAACGAATCCTCTACCCCGTGCTTGGATCCAGCTCCTCGAAACCCCAACTCACCTGAGCGCTTTAATTTTGTGAAGCTAGTGGGAGCACTAGAGGCATGAGGAACTGGATTGATTGCCAGAGAAGGGTAACTGAGGGTCTATATAGTACTAAGTGGCCTGTCATGTGACCCGAGGCTACCACTGGCTTGGGCAGCAGCCAGTGACGTGATTGGGCAGCAACATGTGAATGCAGCAGATGGGACTAGAGCTCCGTAGTTGCAAACAAGTTGCCTTCCTCGACGATCGTAATCCTTCCATGTCATCCAACTTCTCCAAACTACCAATCTAATTTCTGCCACCTAGCTTTCAGCCGTTCACACTCGCACTATTCGGCATCCCTATCCCCACAGCTGCAGTCACACCAGCATCAACAGGAAGTATTGCACCAGTTATCCATCTTGCATGATTGCTGGCCAAAAAAACCACCGCGCAAGCACAGTCCCAACCAGTCCCCTCCGTGCCAAGCAAGCTACGCTTTCTCCTTGCTTCTCTCGCCTCTTCACTCATTCCACCCGCATACATCATGGGTGTATACAGCATCTACAACAGTCAGCCAATCACCCTCCCGCAGCAGCAGTAAACCTACCCCAGGACAAACGCAATTGACCCGAATCCCATCCGTCGCATGATGCGCCGCCATGGCCCTCGTCATATTCACCACCGCACCCTTGCTTGTCGGATACAGTAAATGCGGCGTTCCACCCTTCAACCCAGCCACAGATCCCATATTGACAATGCAGCCTTTCACTTCCCCTTCATTCTTCTTCATCGCCGGAATCGCCTGCTTTGCCATCTGCACCATAGTCCCTACGTTAACTTCCATACTCTTCGCCCAAGCCTCCATATCAACATCTACAGCCGTACCCGCCGCACCTCCAATCCCGACATTATTGATCAGGATGTCGAGTCTGCCAAACGTTTCAATTGCATGAGTTACTGCCCTTTTGCAGTCCGACGTTTTGGTCACGTCAGATTGGAAAGGCATTGCTTTGCCGCGACCGGGTTTGGAGTTCGCCATATCTGCAGTTTTGGATGCCCATTCAAGGTTCAAGTCCAGGCAAAGGACATTGCAGCCTTCATCTGCGAGCATGATAGAGATGGCTCGGCCATTTCCAATTCCTTCACCTACGCAGCCGGCGCCGGTGACGATAGCGACTTTGTCTTTCAGTCCTCGCAATGGAGGATCGGAAGGGATATCTTCCATCGTGTTGCGGAAGTAAAAGTGGATTAAGATCGAGGGGACACCAATTTGCTGACGTGAGGTTCTCGCACGGGAAAGACAGGGGCGCTCGGTCAAAGCTTGGGTAATTCTAGTACCGTGATCAAGACAAGGAAGTCTGCCCAATTCAATGATCTAACCGTTTCAGACGATATTGCTTGCTTTGTAAACTCGGCAACCCTCAAATGGATTACCGAGATGATGGAATTAAGTCCGAGGAGATTTAGCCCCGAGGTTGCATCGACCGAGGTGGATGGAAGCGTGCGGGGCAAAGTGCGGGGAAAGTGAATTGCAGATTCATGCGCACTTCTCAGCACATGGAGCCTCCATGTGAATATGTACCTTGGTTTCCTTCTTTCACACGCGTGACATGATCCATCTTCACCATCAGCGTTTTCATCTTAGTCGGCGAGTTCCTTTTCACCAACTGTCAGACATGATCGTGAGGTCGGCGAAGTCATGAGAACGGAAGAATTATTTCACCCAGTCCAGTTTCCGCAACGCACATAAGGGCCAATAGAATCATCGAAGATTTCAGGACAGACGAAAGTATCCCTCTCAGAAGAAGCCTCCATATCGAATCAAGACATCAAAAATATTTTGTAACCAACAATGTGCGACTTCACCCAATATGCCGGCCCCTCTACAGAATGGCTTGAGGTTGAAAAGAAACTCCTAGCCCTAACCTTCGATATCACGCAAGAACCTTTGATCCTAAAACACGCCGTCAACGATGGTCGCGAACAAGTCGCTTCCAAAGCGATGGAGACTCTTGCGTCCAAAGTCCACATGCTTAACCACACCATCCCCACACGCGATGGATCCACCATCGAAGCTCGCAGCTATCGACCCGCCAGCAAGAAGATATCCGAAAAACTTCCTGTCTACTTGTTCTTCCACGGCGGAGGCTTCTTGTTCGGCACATTAGCGAGCGAGGACGCAACCTGTGCTCAGATCGCGGCCAATATCGGCATTGTGGTTGTGAATGTGAATTATCGACATACGCCTGAACATACGTTTCCAATAGCATGGCTTGACTCCCAAGACGCCTTTGAATGGTTACATTCGCACATTGAAGAGATTGGAGGAGATAGAGAGAAGGTTGTTGTCGGTGGGATATCGGCTGGCGGACAACTCTCCGCATCATTAGTCCTCGAACAGAATTTGGGGAAAGCTCTAACGAAGTGCCCGCCAGTCGCGGGCCAAGTACTGATGATACCATGCGTGGCGCATATCGACACATTCGGGGAGTCTCAGGCAAAACAGTTGAAAAATCCATCACACTCCTCATATGTGGAGAACAAGGATGCGCCGATATTACCGGAGAAGACCGTCCGCTTTTTCATGAGTCTTTTGAAAACCGAGATCCCAGATTTGAAGGATACGAAACTCAATCCAGGAAATGCGACTCCCGGAGATGTGAAGGGAATGCCGCCAACGGTATTTGGCATTGCTGGATTGGATCCGTTAAGGGATGAGGCTCTTCTGTATGCAAAAACACTTGCAGAGTCAGGCGTTCCGACAAATATTACTCTTTTTAAAGGGGTTCCACATGGATTTAGAAGGTTTGGAAGTGCGTTATCAGCGTGCCGAACTTGGGATGAGTGTGTGGAGAAAGGGATACTGTGGGCACTTTCAAATCCCAAGGCGACGGGAAAATTTGAGGTCAAAGTGAAGTGATTCCCGAGATCAGCCATAGTAGTCAAATTAATTCGGGACTGTGCAAACTGCATCCAGGTTGCATAATGCTACTTGAAATTAGGTGTGGGAAAATTTTTCTGAACAAATGTTGCCTCATGCCTTACGCTTACAACTTAACCAATCTCAAATCGGAATATTCCCTCGCCTTAACTTCATCGCATCTCTTCCGATACCCTGGTGCTGGCCCATTATACCTCGCAATCGTCCTCTTCTGCTTATGCTTCAAGTTCTTATTGACACCAGTCATCCACGAATCAATCTCAGTCGCTAGCAATCCTTTCGCACAATCATGCACATGTTCCGTCCAAGCTCGTACAGCTTCTTCTGTTGCTTCTGCGCACGTTATCTGATTGTCCCTGCAATATTCGATTAATTCTGCAACCCATTTCACTGCGTATTCGATTGAACGGGGAATATTTCCGAACATCTGATGAGGACCCATTATCATGAACATGTTAGGGAATCCACGGACAGTCAGGCCCAGGAACGTTTGAATACCTTCATTCCAAACATCTTTCAACTTGAGCCCATCGATACCTTTAAAATCGACTGCGTTAAAGGACCCGGTAACCGCATCAAATCCGGTGGCGTATATTATAATGTCGAACTCAAAGTCCCCATCCTTAGTCTTGATACCGTTCTCCGCAATGGACTTGATCGGATTCTCATTTATATCCACAAGCGTCACATTTGGTTGGTTGAACGCTTCGTAATAGCCACCCTCCAACGGAACCCTTCTCGTCCCAAATCCATGATTCTTCGGAATGAGCTTCTCTGCTGTGACTGGATCCTTGACACGTTGCCGGATCTTGTTCGCGATGAATTTGCTGAACAGTTCATTGGCCTCTCGGTCAGTGCCAATATCCCTAAAATTGGATAACCATTTAGAGAATCCAGCTTTCGAGTATAAGTCTTCCCAATGTCTCTCCCGCTCTTCGGGTGTGAGGTCGAAAACTGAGCGAGGGTCTGATAGGTGGATAAAACAAGCGTACGAATCGAGGCATTTCTGAAAAATCTCGGGGTATTGTTTGCGAATTGACCCCATTTCTTCGGGTCGGATCTTCGCATTTCGTAGTGGTGCGGTCCAATTCGGTGTGCGTTGGAAGACCGTTAAAGATCCAACGGAGTGGTATATCTCTTGAATAGTTTGAATAGCAGTGGCTCCCGTTCCAATGATGCCAACACGCTTTCCATCCAAGACTGATGCATCGTCCGGCCACCGTGCGGTGTGGAAGGCGTGACCTTTGAAATCACTGACCCCGGGTATGTTTGGAAGGGTCGGCTGATTCAAGATACCCATCGCCGTGATGATAAACTTCGATGTGTAGGTACGGCCTTCTTCATCGGTGAGCATCCAGGAGTTCGTCTCTTGCTTGAAGTGGGCGGAGGATATCCTTGTATTGAACTGCATGTCCTTTTTTAAATTGAATTTCTCGGCGACATACTGGCAATATCGAAGAGTTTCCTCCTGTCCCGCAAAATGCTCCGACCAGTCCCATTCATCCAACAACTCTTGCGAAAATGAGAAAATATATGAATACGATTCTGAATCGAAACGCGCACCGGGATATCGGTTCCTTTCATAAAGTCAGTTCTTCAAAACATATAAATTCGTTCCACAGGGATTACCAGAACCAAGTCCCTCCTTCACCTGCGCCTGCCTCGAGGATTCTTGATTTTAGTCCCAGCTGGTGCATTCGATACAGCGAGTACATCCCACTTTGTCCAGCACCGATGATGAGAACATCATAGTCCAATTGTGGGTCAAGGGTTGCTGACGAAACACCATTGAGTTGGCCCACCATGTTGCAGATTGTTCCGTGTGCGTGTACTTGATTTTCAAGGCGCAGTAGTCCTTTAGCTATGCATGAAACGACGTAGACAGCAATGTCTCCCAGAGTAATAATACCAAGGAGGCGGTTGATAAATCACTAAGCGTAGCGCAAATCATAGTTAGCATGCAATTCGGCCCACGAATGTTCCCGCATCTGGGGATTCTCCCAACGCTCCAGTCTAGCTGTTTTTAGATATACCGAGCCGTTTCCTGCGGACAACCGTGTATCGCCCGGCTTGGCATTGTTTCGGTATCAAGTTCACCACTATTCTATCGAAGGTACAGATGGTGATCTTGCCGGTGAGGTTTCCCGGTCGACTAGTCGCTAATACCGTCACCGCCGCCATCCTTCCAGGGAGCGAGTCAGCCATCGCAACTCCCTGTCCTACTATACACCCGTGCCTGTTGGAGCCATCAGCGGATGCCCGGTCTCTCAGCGGTATCCCTCTTCTGTTCACTGAAGTCGGAACCGAGACTTGCTTGGTCAGGTTCAGATCGAATGATCTAAGCTAATGTCTAGGGCTTCTTTTCTTCCAAGTATATCAGTAATATCGCGACTTCGAAAAGGCTTCGAAGATTTCGAATATCCAATAAGCAATCAATAGATTTCGTTTCCAACTTTACGTCTTCATTGTCGACCATGACTGTCTTTCTAGACCATTTGAGTGCTGACCCAGCACCAGGCTCGCACGCCGCTGAACCACTTCGCCCCAGTACAAGCCCAGGAACCGATGGCGAAATACCGAAAGTCAATGTTTCAATTCCGGTCGAGAAAGTTCCTGTTGGAAACGCTACAACGGCCATCCTAACCACGAACGGTTTCTCAATTGGTGCAACGAATAGCGTCAAGATTTCTTGCACACCCATGGCCAACAGAGCAGATAATTTGGCCTTCGATCCATTCTCGCTAAACAGCCAGTACGCCTACACACCGCGGAAACTCAAAGTGTTCACCATTGGTGCCGGATTTTCAGGGCTATTGATCGCACATAAGTTCCAGCATCGCTTCCCAGAAATGCAAGACATAGTCGACCACACAATCTTCGAGGCACATTCGGAAGTCGGTGGAACCTGGCTCGTAAACAATTATCCTGGAGTCCAATGTGATGTCCCAGCGCATATATATGTAAGGTCCTTGACTACGTTCCAGTGTAAGTCGAGGTTAATGAGTCCAAGGCTTTCCCATTCGATCCAAACCCGGAATGGTCGCGATTCTACGCCAGTGGGGAAGAAATCTTAGCGTACTTCAAGCGTACTGTAAAGAAGTGGAACCTTGGTCGAGATCTTCAACTGAACACTAAGGTAGTCGGGGCAAGGTGGCAAGAGAGCTTGGGCCAATGGAAAGTAACAGTTGAACACCAAGGTATACAAAGAGATGAATACTGCCACGTGTTAATTTCGGGGCAAGGTGTGCTTGTGTGAGTTTCTACAGCTCATGTTCGTGTTTCTCATATAGATACAAGTGCTAATAAGAATGCTGTAAAGTCATGAGAACTGGCCGGACATTCCCGGCCTCCGCTCGTTTAAAGGTCACATCACACACTCCGCTCGCTGGGATCACAATTATGATTACTCCCATAAACGCATTGCTGTCGTTGGAAATGGTTCTTCTGGCATACAGATCGTCCCTCAAATGGCTAAGCTTCCAGGAACCGAGGTAACAAACTTCATCCGCAGTGCGGCGTGGGTATATTACCGAGCGCCACCATCAAAGCATCTTGGCCGTGACGTTGACGATCCAAACCCTGCGTATACAGAGAATGAGAAAGACCAGTTCAGGGACCCAGAGTACCACCAACAGTATCGGAAAGGTATTATCTCAAGAACAAATAAGAGCTTCTACATCTTCATGAAAGGCGAGAACAATAAGGCAGGGATAAAAGCCGCGAGTGAACAAATGGCCGAGAAGCTAAACCATAACCCTGAGCTTTGCGAGAAACTGATTCCAAAGTGGGAATTGGGATGTCGAAGGATCACTCCTGGACCAGGATACCTGGAGTGCTTCTTAAGATCTAATTGCCATCTCACGAACAGTTCTATCACGAGGATATCGGAGAATGCGGTGCACACGGCCGATGGGAAATCGTTTGAGTGCGACGTTGGTGGGTAACACACGGCGTCGGACTTCTGAGACATATTTCTGACCACTGCAACAGTTATTTGCGCAACTGGATTCGATGTCTCCCACCGCCCTCGTTACCCGTTCATCGGCAGAAACAGCATAAATCTTCGTGAAAAGTGGGAAGACGAGCCAGAGTCTTATATATCAGTCATGACACCTGACTTCCCAAACTATTTCATGATGATGGGTCCAAACTGCCTCGGAGGCCATGGCTCGCTTGTTGAATCACTGAATTGGACCGGTGATTATTTCGTGAAGTGGATCAAGAAGATGGCAACTGAAGACATCAAATATGTCATGCCAAAGAGGGAGGTCGTGGATGCGTTCATGAAGTATGGAGATGAGATCCACAAGACATTAGTGTGGACCGGTGGATGCAAGAGCTGGTATAAAAGAAATCGAGTCGATGGGAGAGTAACGGCCTTGTTTGGTGGCAGTGCACATTTGTTCAATCGACTATTGGGTGATATTCGGGGAGAAGATTTCAGCATCACCTATAATTCCGCAAACCCGTTCCGATTTATGGGTAATGGTTTCACGCAGTATGAGATGGACGAGAGGAGCGATCTTTCGTGGTATGTTGAGGTAGCAGAGGAGCATCAGGGCCGTGGACCTCCAAAGGAAGTTATCATAAACAAGAACGAGGCTGTGCTTTAAATAAAATATCTAAAAGTGCAATGCCAACACAGCAATATAATTCAAGGATCAAAAACTGAATTTGGCATGTTCATGTTATACTCCGTGAAAGGGTCAAAAAGATCTTGATATTGCGCCAGCAATGTGTCGTGGAATACCTCATTATTTGGCGACGGAAATCCTCGGGTAGCAGTTCCATGCTCTCTCCCAGATATTAAACTCTGCGCGATTCCATTTGTTGACTTAGTTACAAAGGGAAAGAAGCGCATCCAGTCAAAGTCGTCATCCTCAGGAAGGGAATGCCCATTTGGGAGTGAAGATCCCCCCATGTCTCCAGAAGTCGTGGGGAATCCCGCATCCGTGTGTTGGAGACTAAGCTGAGAAATGCTTCCTGCACCGATTTGCGGTCCACCATTGTCAGCTGCAATTACAGATGACATATCAGTTCCACGCAGACGATCGAAGCCCTGGGAAATGACATTTGCGGACGCCCACATTTTCTGGAGCTGTTTGACAGTGTGCGTAAGGATATCTAGGTCTTCATTCGCGTACTTTGAAAGATGGTCTATTCGACAAGCCTGGAGGAGCGCGATGAAAGCTGTTGCAACGTGCCAGCACGTGATAGCCATCAGGAATCGCGAGTTCCCGCGGGCTAAGATGTCCTTTAAAATCCGCGCTGAACAAGAAGCAGCTAGAATAGCGGGTGGTAAGGCTTGTGGAAGATTTCCACCAGATCGCTTGAGATGAAGGACAATAATGGTAGTAAGGTAGGGTAGGTGCAATTGATGCACATCGCGATCGAATGATTCTGTACGGGCCGAGTCGATGCGTAGACGGAGATGTGGAGGGAGGGAATAAACCCATGCGATAAGCTCTTCGCAAAGATCGTATGGAAACTGTGCTGATGAGGGCTTCTCTAACCGTGATAGAATCTTGGCGATGCGCCCGATGATGGAGCATAAACGTACCCACTGAATGAATATCTCTCCTTTTCGCTGACTTTGCGGGTCGATTGGAAAGTCACCCAGAGTTGGTTGCTTCATACTGCAGTCATCGGGATCAATAATAGCCGGTTTGGATTGACACAGAGCCGTTAATCTCTCACGAGCCTGAGTGCCGCAGGTCAGTCTTACCTGCTATGTTTATGGAAAGTAGCCCAAAGATAGCGAAACCTATGTACTTACAAAGACAGTCCACCAGATTCTCCGTCGAAGACTAAGATCTAACCTCTCACTATGGGGATGACTAAGGACAGTTTCACGATGAATGTTCATCTGCTGAGCATGTCTAATGATTACTGAAGTCCACCACCAAGAAGAATGCCGGTGTACTCTAGATGGAGCTTGCGGAGCCCACCAATAGAATAAACATAGGGATTTAAGAGACGTGATAATGTCTGCTTCTTCATCCTCGTAGAATATTGTGCGAGCTTTCTTGTAGTAGGCTTCGGGGCCATCATGCGGAAGTAGCGGTGGTTGTACGTGGCTGGCTGCTAGTGCAAGTGCATTTGCCAGGAGGGGAGATCGCGATATCTCGGCAGACAGAGTGGCCCGGTCTAACACCGGGCACCAAGGGTAGCAGTATTCGAAGTAGGTCTCCGTAAAGATTTGCTGGAGGTCTGGTTGAAGTTCGGAGCTATATCGATGTTCTAGCTGGGCCACAAGTGCCTGATTTTCGGCGTCGAACTGGTTCTCCGGTCCATAAACTTGAAGAAATCCAGTGTCAACATCGCCGAGCTGGGTTGGAGTAGAGTCCGTGTGACCATTGCTGACTTGGGAACGTCGCGCAGGGGAGTCGTTTTGAAGAATGTGGACAAGGTTCCCCGGGGATGGGTTCGGCCGAAAGTCCATGGCCCTAGGATAGTGGAGAGAGGTTGGAGATTGATCAGTACGATTCAAGTTTGGGTCGATAGCAGCTGCGTTCGACGTCGTGTTCGGAGCCGTGAACTCCTGGAATGTGGCATCAGCAGCAAGCAAAGCATCCACGCCATTTGTAATTTGAGAAGGGGATGGGTATCCTAAGAGGCGTTAGATATTGGCTGGGTGGGCAAGGAGACAAAAGTACTAGGGGCTGTAGCATCTTGGGTCTCGCCATCTCTTCGAGGTCGACGCCTCCTCTCACGTTTCGAAGGGCGAATGCGACATTCTCGACCAGAGTTGGAGCAATTTGTACATGCATTGATTTCTTGGCTTCGCTGGCTCTGAATATCGCATTTGATCTTCTTCGAATGGCAAGCAATGCAGACCAGCTCCGCACGCTTTCGCTTGGGTGGGTTTGCGGCAAAGTGGAGCCAGTTCGAGTCCGTAGCCATGCCTGCTCACGACTTCCTCATTCTTTCAATTATTTTCACACATCAGTTGCGATATAGAAGAGGTGATATTTGTGGCGAGAAAGGAGGGGGGGTGAGCAACGTTGTGTCAGAGGTGGATTCTAAGATGGAAGATCGAGCGGAACGGGACCGCACAACCGTAGCGTCCACGTGATCATGGAAACTGCGCTAACTAGGCCAGTGAATACTTCTTCAAGAACAGCGTGTGTATTTAGCATCGAAGCATATTTACAAGGCATTCACTCAGAAGCAGGGTCGTGGTTGTTTATATTCCACTAACACACCTTCATGGGAACCAGCCGTGCATCCCGACATGTCTCCCTTTCGAATATTATAAAATAAAATCAGCAGCGAGCTTTCTAGAATATTCGCACCTCCTAACAACATTTGCGGAGCATATTTAAACTATAGGGCCTCTTTAAATGACACAAGAGACCACTAACAGGAACCAGTTCTATTGAGTGCATAGACGAATCTGCTGCACTCTCCAAAGCGCACGACCACCGTCCACACCCACGTAACCCCGCCCCACGCCTACAGTGTATACCTGAACTGCGGATTCTACACTCAATCATTAGCCATGATCCCATCTCTTCTAAAAGTACAAGGCAATGGCTTACCTTCTTATCCGTAAGATCATCTTCATACGCGTGTTCAAACCCTTCCATAATCCCCGCCCTATCTCGTCGTCTATTCTCCCACACGCATAGAAACCGGTACACCAGCGCAAGAAGCCCAGCAACGATAGCCGTAACTGTGACAACGATGAAACCAGGGATATACCGGGGTGCATCTGCTGGCTTGAAGACGAGTGGGCCTACGAAATTTCCTATTTGAGCGATCAGCTTGAACGCCGAGGGAGAGTGGGCAAACCTACCTAGACAGTATCCAATGTAGATACCCGATGATGCAATGGAACGCTTTGTGTACCCAGCCGTATTTGCAATTTGCAATCCCATCAATGCCGCATACCCTCCCCCGACCGAAGGAAGAATATAGCAAGCGAACAACAAGGCACCAGTCTCGGATTTAGGAAGGAGCCACAGAAGAAGTGCTGCGACGGTTGTGCCGACCTGACATGCAAAAACCAGCCATGAACGAAGTCCGGAATACTTGTAGCATAGGTACGGGGCAACAAGTTGGAGAGTACCGGCATAAGCTCCAGCCGGCATAACAAGAAGAAGCGAGTTGAGCGTACTAAAGCCGAAGGAATCGATGATAATGGGGATGAAAGTGGAGATTGGACCGTTTGCAATCATGGACAGGAAGGCGACCAAAAACACCAGCCAGAACTTCAGATCAAGTAGAAGCTCGCCGATCTGTTCTTTCTTCAAATGGGTATTCCGAACACCAGAGTTGTTGGTTCTGAGGCGCGCGACTGAGATATATCGTTCCCGTTCATCAAACCCTTTAGCCCGGACGGGGTCGGGGGGAAGTATGAAGAAGAGAGCAACCCCCCACAGAATGGTCAGTCCGCCCGCAAAAAAGTACATATATTTCCAGGAGTGAAGCGGCCCTTTAACGAGGCCGAAGCCATAGTTGACAACCGGCGAGAAGATGGACACGTAACCTGTGCAGCTGTACCATATGCTTATGAAGTTGTTAGTGACTCTTGGAGACCCCCCAAGCTTAAGACGACTCACCCCATTCTTAAAGCTTGTTCATTCTTCTTGTAGAAGCTCCCCTGTTAATTCCGTTAGATGAAGATCTTTGCGGCAATAGAGGCATGGAACATACTACAATCATCATGAACATCGGACTTATCCCGCTCTCAAGGAAACCTAGAAAGAACCGTTGCGCATAGAGTGCCTGGTATTCGAGGCCGCACTGAGCCTTGGCTGAGTCGCTGTCTCGCTTCTCGACCAATCGCCTCCTGCGGGCGTCTGCGGATGTCCACCCCCGGCTCTCGCGCCCGTGCGGTGGACATCTCCTACTGCACCGGCCGCCTGCTGAGCCCGCCGCTGATGGCTCCTGTACTACACACACACACACACACACACATATATGTATGGATGGAGAGGCCCTAGGGCAGGCCAGGCCCTGCCCTCACCTTCATCCCGAGCCCGAGCTTCAGCGTGCACTGCTTGCTGCTGTATATACCCTCCCTCACTGTACACACTCACTCAGGGGCAAGAGCAGGGCAAGGCGAGCGAGCATGGGTCTACAGCGCAGGGCGCGTCGCGAGCGCGCAGACGTCAACATCGCGAACAACGCTGAGCTGCGCGCCAATGCGCACCATATCCTAGCTACAATTCGCGAGCAGCGGCCAGAGAATACGCACCAGGTCTATGTTCCAAAGCAGGAGGAATTCAAGGTAGTATTCTCGCCCGCCTGCCTGCCTATCTGTGTGTCTGTGTCTGTGCTAACTCCCGCGTCTAGGCGTTCTGCGAGAGGAAGCAGTACCACGACAGCAGCACTGTTACAGAGGAGAAGCTGCTGCTCTTCCTAGTTAAGGAGGTTGCGAACCAGCCCTTAAGGACTAGGTCTCGCAAGGTAGGGAGCGACGTCCCCCAAGACAAGACGCGTCTTGCCTGGCGCTCAGTTCGCGCCTACATCACAGCCATCACCAACCTCTGGCGAGAGCAGAAGGCGCTGGGCATGAACAGCCACCCATCGCCGCGCGTAGACAGCGCAAGGGAGTACCTTAGGTCTCTGCAGCGCAGGGATGCCCAGCGAGATCAAGAGCAGTACGCCGACAAGGGCAGAGACACGCTGCTCAACGGCTACACTAAGGACAAGTTTGAGCGGCTCTGTAGCGAGCTGTGGACACATAGCGCAGACGCGAGCTTGTCCTCAGCAACAGTAGAGTGTCACTTCCGTACGCTAGTCGATCTCATGCTGGGCCACTACATGCTCACGCGTGGAGGCGACCGCCGTTCTGCAGAGATCTCAGACCTGTTCACCTTCAAGTTCAAGGGGGAGGGCCCTACGCGCTGCATGCCCCTAATATTCACCACCCGCGCAAGCAAGCAGAACCAGCATGGCCGGCTCAAGACAATAGGCGCGCTGCGGCACAGAAAGCCAATCCTCTGCATGCTCAGCAGCCTAGCCTTCTACCTGCTCTATCGCTGGGACCTAGGCGACAAGCCCTTTCCTGACTTCAGTGAGCGCTCAGCCTAGTACCGCATACAGCTAATCAAGGCCAGCACAGGCGATCGTACAGCAGCCTTCTCCTACAACTCCCAGCGCAACTGGGTCGCGAAGGCGTACAGTTACGCTGGGATCTCATCTCAGAAGAAGACTCACCTCCCACGCAGTAGAGCAGCTAAGCTAGCAGAGCTTAAAGGGGTCAGTAAGGATCAGATTTAGCAAGCAGGCAGGTGGAATCAGGAGCAAATGGTTGGCTGCTACCTCAACTCACTGCCGCAGAAGTTCATGAGGTCTATGGCTGGCCATCCGCCGCAGATGGGCTGCTTCGAGATCCCTCGCGCAGCTGTCGTGCCTCCAGACGAGCTCCTGTCTCTCATCTGGCCAGAGCTCAATGCGTGGAAGGGCCGCTTCGGCCCACACGCTGGCCAGATCAACAACCTAGCCGCAGGGGGCCTCACAAGCCTGCTGCTCTACCTCAGAGAGGTGATCCTCCAGGACTCAGTTGCGCTGCGCCGGCGCTTCCCTAGCCACCCTGTGTGGAGCCACCCAGTGTTCCAGCACAGGGCGTACGCCGCCTTCGCTCAGGACATCGACGCGTCTCTCGACGCAGAGGCAGCTCCTAGTCGGCTGTCAGTCCTGTACCAGGCAATACCCCTGCTTGCTAACCAGCTCCAAGCGCTAGATGCCCAGAACAAGCAGCAGATAAGGGAGCTTAAGAGGGAGCTTAAGGAGGAGCTCAATCACGTGCGCAAGCTGCAGAGATTACAGTCTCAGCAGCTGCAGGTGCTCACGTCTGGCAGCCTTATGTTCCGCCTGGAGGCATCGCAGGCGCAGGGCGGTCTGCTGCTGCCACCACCTCCACTCAGGCACACAGCAGCTGCGCCGCCGTCGCTGGCAGACGTAGATTCAAGCAGGTATACCTCTGCCCAGGCCAGCCTCGCGCCTACGCCGTCTGCGCGCTCGCCTAGCCCATCGCCGCTGCCAGCAGCGCTTGAGCTGGCGCCTAAGCTAGAACCTGCACCAAAGCATCGCATGTGCCGCGCTGTGAGGACCGTGGAGGATCTCTGGCGCGAATGGACAGTAGGCCTGCAGGGCCAGCCTTCCATCGCTGAGCTAGACAGGCGCTGGGGGAACAAGTGGAGGTCAGGTCGTCAGAGCGAGCTGCAGTGGTACTCTCTGCGGCTCGAGGTCATCAAGGAGATCAGGCGCATCGCGCAGGCGCGGAGGACCAGCGAGGAGGCGGCCATGTGGCAGGTGAGCCAGCAGCAGCAGCAGCAGAGGGTCTCGCTGGACCAGCTCTGCAAGCATCTCAGAGTCGCTCAGAAGGAGAGCAATCGCCCCTAGTTTTGTAGTCCTAGTATTGTATATAGTTATTGTTATAAGAGTTAATTAATTAGTGTTTAGATAGTTATAGCTGCTAAGTAGGGATTCTATTCTGCATTGTTCTGCAATTTGCTGCGTCTTGTTGCAATTTGCTGCATTATTCTGCAATATGCTGCGTCTTGTTGTAATTTGCTGCATTGTTCTGCAATTTGCTGCGTTTTATTGCAATTTACTGCATTATTCTGCAATTTGCTGCGTCTTTTTGCAATTTGCTGCATTATTCTGCAATTTGCTGCTTCTTGTTGCAATTTAATACATTATTCTGCAATTTGCTGCATTATTAGAATACTGTGCAAGCACAGTATACTTCTGTCACACTGTGACATTTATAAAGAGGTACCTAGCAGCCATACAGTGCGTTCCCAGCAACGTAATAGCAATTATAATGCAGCTCTGCAGCGCTTTAAAGCTAGAGCAGCCTAGCAGCTATTATAAGACTAAAAATCAGGCTATTTGCACATGTGGCGGCGTAGATATCGCCCATGGAGGGTGGGCAATGGACATGGGTGGATACTGGAAGTTGATGAGCGCACGGCCCCCCCTGCCAGCGAAAATCTCGCTAAGCCGCTGAATCAGCCATACAAATGTCGCCGTAGATATACTATTGATACAGCCAGCCGTCAAAAGTCTGGTTCGCCAAGCCACCAACACCAAAACGCGCGATGCACGCGTCAATCAACTACCACCCACGCAACCATGCAGCGCCGTTCTTTTGGCCAAGAGATAAGCGCAAATTGTTAGCGCAACGCTGAATTATCTATAAGAGCTTAGGATTTAATTATTTTAAAGTAGGAGGCTAGCGCGGCTGCGGCAGAGTTAGCTAATGAATTTAGCTGCACAACAAAGTGCGTACGCGACACTGTTAATTAATACCTTAAAACAGGCACTAATTAATCGCGCCCTCGCTCTAGCCAGCCTTTAAAGCTCACGCGTAGGGACATTTAGCAGCTCTATTATTACGCTTAAAAAACTCTAAAGATTACGTATTTAAAACTTCTTTAAAAAGTAGGCCTTAATAGACGCATTTTAAAGACTATAGCATACTGCGCTTTAAGGCATAAGGGATTAAAGAAGTTTAGGTGTAAGAGAAGGCTAAAGATAACTTACACAACTGCTGCACTGCGCTAGAGCTAGAAGAGAAAGTAGAGAGATTTTAATTTTTAAAGGCAGACTGTTTAGTTCTCTAATAAGTGCTTAGTTTAGCTAGGTTCTAGCGCTAATCGCAAGTAGTGCTTCTAGTATCTGTACAAGAAATAGAGGCCTAAGATAATTAAGGAGCATTCTACAAGCAGGCCTTGCTAGCAGATGGTGTAGGCGTCAATCTAGATTAATAAGAAGAGGCGCGTACAGAGGAGCCCACTTATTATTATAGAGAGAGACCCTAACGCACCACACAGAGGATACTCAGCGCGCAGCTATACTCAAGCGCTAGAGGGGGGTCTTCTGCGCAACTATTGTCGCGGGGATTAATTCCTGCAGGATAACGCTTAAATCCACACTGCTCTTTATACTTGTAATTAGATAGCTAAGCATTGTAACGATTCTCATGAATCGTTCCATCTCGGGTCGCCCCGGAACCTATCCGAAGGGTCTCCGTATCGGCTCCGACCCTGACTCGACTCTGCCCGGCCCCCTGCTGTTACCCCTATTCCCTCATGTATTTAGTTGCACCTCGCCCCCGTAGCTAGCTCGGTAGTTTTCTGATATCCTACGTACAAGGCCTATAGGTGTCATTAGTATTCCCAGGTCTCTGAGTCCCCACGCACTCCCATATGCCTCTGAGTGGATTCATACCGCATTCAGACCCATTGTCTTGCCTGCGCTATTACATTATATTAGAAAACTTGCTTTTGCTAGTAACAGCCTTGTTACAATATCGCATTAATTGTTTGTTTAACTACGTCTAACTCTAAGAAGCGTCTAATTTAGTTTAGGTTACTGTTCTTACACACTGTTACATTAAATTATTTAGTTAGTACAGATAGGATCCTAGAGACCTCCTGTTAACTAAAGCCTTTAGGTTTAGAACTTCCTATCCCCTATAATTAGGATTGCCTTTAGAAAAGTTGCAAAGAGTGCGCTAAGGTAGAAACTTAAAGACTACTAATAACCTATTAAGATTAGGGACAACTACTAATGCCTAACCCTTAACTACTATTAGATCTTATTGTAAAGACTGCAACCTGTTCTAGCTACAGCTAAGGCAAGATGCCTGCCTTTAGAACTAAACTACTACTAACCTTAACAGCTAAACCCCCTTTTATAGGACCTAAAGCTAAAAACCTACTAGATTTAGAGTTAAACTCTAGTAGCATAGCCCTTAAGAACTAAGTTGCTTAATTAAGGGCACAAATTAAACAGCTAACTAGATTAAAAACTGTTAGTTCTAATTATCCCCTACTAACTACTAAATCACCCCTAATAATGCCTTAAATCACCCCTGCCACTCTAATAGCAAGAGACCTTTTAGGCACCCCTAAGCTCCTTTAAAGCTACCTTACTAAATATACGCCTAAGATTAAGAACCTTACAGATAGCAAAGAACCTACATTTAAATAATAGCAAGCCTCTATTACAGACAGACTTAACATTAATGCAGATTACTATTAGAGTAAGCGCGCACACATGGCGCTAGTATAGGGACACACTGCTGGTATCGCGAAGGAATACCTAGAGCCTAGATACCTAGCTAAATTAGATCACTTTTAGTTTAGGAACGCAGAAGAAATAATTAAGCTTTTATAAACTTACTTTATTACTAGCAATAAAGAAACAGAGGCGCAACAGGCGTTTTAAACTCTAAGAATAGGCAAAGAAAAAGTGTTCTCTAACTTTAAAGCTTACTTTATTAGTGCTGCTGTTAAAGGGTCTATATTAAAGGCAGAATAGTTCTTCTACCTATAGAAAAAGATACTACTTAGCCTAAGAGTACTAAACTTAGGTTTTAAGCACACTTAGAAGAGCTTTTTTAAGACTATAGTAGCTTACCTAACAGCCTACAACATAGAAAGAAGGAATACCCCTGCTATTTTAGAGTAAACTGTTAATCTTACCTAACAGTCTACTGTTAAACCTAGTACAGATTAGTCTTAGAAGGTTTCTAGTAATACATCTAAGGCAGTATACTATTCTAGTGCACCCTAACCTACACCTCTGTTAGTACCCCAGTCCACATTAGTTACCTATAGACAATCCAGCTAGACACCTGCCCTAGAAAGACAGACAACTCCTAGCAACTGTTATAATTGTGGAAAACTAGGACATTTCGCCAGCAACTGCCCTATCCCTAGAGTACAAGAAATAGAGGTGGAGCAGCAAGATTCTAAAGAAGAATTTGTAGACATAAATAATTTTAATCTAGATACCTCTTAGATAGGAAATAGTAATGCCTAGGGAAACTCTTTATTCTAGGCTTAAGTAAGTATAATCTATTAAACATTAATCTATTGCACTTGTTTAGAGGAAAACACTTCTAAGTCCCTACTGTTTTGTATTTAAAAAGCATTAAAGTCTATTTAAATCTCTTAGTTAATACTAGCGCCTATAGTTTTCTATTTATTAACTTAACAACTGCTAAGTTATTATCTTAATGCCTCTATGTTTCTATCTAACGCTTACTATTTAAAGTTATAGTTAAGGGCTTTTAAGATTAGATCTGAGTCCCTGTCTACTAGTATATCTGCTTGCACATGCAAATTAATAGGAGAAGCATCTAAAACTGCCTCTTTGTTATTATAAACCTTAGCTCCTAGGATTGCATTATTAGCATTAAATAGTTATGTTGTTTTAAACTCTATCTAGATACAGAGAGGAATTAGATTATATAGCCTAGCAAATATCTGCCTACCTACAAACCTTTGCTGCCCTTGCTTATGCAATTAACCTAGCCTGCGCGCAACAAAGAAGTGGAGTTAGATATTAAACAACACAACGCACTATAGAAAAAGGACTAATTTTAGCAGTTATACAGCCTAACAATTTACTGCATTAAGGGTTTGCTAAGGCTACTAAAATTATACAGATCTTCTATTATCCACAGTCTAAAGACACTTAAATTGTCCTTCTGCCTATCTATTAAAAAGTCTAGAACAGGCCTAAAGGAGGTCTATTTAGCTACTATTACCTTAATTTTAGCAAATGCTTTTTATTTTAATATAAAAAGAAAAAAGAACAAGTTTTTTTTAACTTCTATCTATAAAATTAAGCAGTTAATTAAAGACAAGTAAGCCTTACAGTTAGACGCTAAACGTGAAACTAAAGTATTAGTAAACCTCTAATTACTATCTAAATACTGTTAGTACTAAGATGTATTTAGCCACACCGCAGCTTACTAGCTACCAGTACATTGTCTATATAACCACAAGATTGTCCTTACAGAGCCTCTCCCCAACAGTTACAGTCTGTTGTACAAACAGAACCTTAAGGAGCTAGAGGCAACAAAGAAATACATTATAAATAATCTAAAATATAGCTTTATTAAGCAGAGTTAGAGCTCTTTTGCATCTTCTATCCTTTGTGTACAGAAACTAAATGGCAACTTATGTATCTGCGTTAATTACCGCAAACTTAACACTCTTACCTGCAAGGATGTGTATCTAATACTGCGCATAGACAAACTCCTGTTAAGACCTACTAAGGCAGTAATCTTTACTAAGTTTAATATTCGCGTAGCTTTTAACAAGATTAGGATAGATCTAAGCTCTAAAGAGTGTACTACCTTTTAGACATAATACAGAACCTATAAGTGTAAAGTCCTGCCTTTTAGATTATGTAATAGTCTAGCAACTTACTAGCGCTATATAAACAATATATTAATTAACTATTTAGATAATTTCTGCATTACCTATCTTAATAACATCCTTATCTACTCTAAAGACAAGGCAACTTATATCCTCTATGTTAAGAAAGTCTTAGAAAGGCTCTAGCAAGCAGAATTATAAGTAAAGATTAAGAAGAGCAAATTTTATGTTACTTAAATAAGGTATCTTAGCTATATACTCTTAAACAAAGGACTAGAGGTTAACCTAGAGAAAGTAGAGGTGCTACGCAACTGGCAGGCGCCTACTACTGTAACAGGTGTAAAATCCTTCCTAGGCTTTACTAGATTCTATTAGCAATTTGTTCTAGAATTCTCTTATGTAGCAAAACTAATTATTGCGCTTTAGAGCCCTACTACCTCTTTTATATAGACTTTAGAGTGTAACGTGGCTTTTAAAAAGCTAAAGTCTGTGCTACTAAGTATACCCACACTTTGCTATTTTAACTCTGCGTTGTAAACTAAAATTAAAACTAACACTTCTAATAGGGTAGTAGCAGGAGTCCTCTTTTAGGAACAAGCAGATGGAAATTAGTGCCCTGTATTGTTCTATAGCAAGGTCCTATCTAGTTTGGAGCTGAACTAGGAGATACATAATAAGGAGCTATTCGCAATTGTTACTGCGTTTAAATAATAGAGGGCTGAGCTTACATCTGTGGCAATAAGCACTCTAGTATATACTAATTATTATTTATTAAAGTACTTTATAATAACAAAGGTGCTAAATGCTTGTTAGGTCTATTAGGCTAAAGAGTTAGCTTAGTATTGCTTCTAAATTAAGTACACCCCTAGCAAGAACAACGCTAGGGCAGACATTCTTAGTTATTGCAAACAAGACGTAGAAAATTTAAGAGCAGCTTAAACTAACAATAGGTTAAGGGTCCTACTAGGACTGCACTAACTGCACCCCTAAATTAACTCTAAA